GGGGGGGGGGTTGTAAAATATGCGGTCCTAAAAATCGTGACATCCACAAAGGCCGTATGGTTTGCCTGTGCCTTCGCTCTGGCTCTGCGTTTTAACACAAACACCGGTATTGTCACCACAATGCTTATTAGAAAGGAAACAAAGGAAACATGCATTCATTGCGATACACGTAACATTCTATCAGTTGAAGCGCTGCTATAAATACACCAGTGTAAACAGACAGGTAGATTGTACGCAGTCACAAGCTCGTATCCACGTAGCAATGATACTACTTCGGAGTCACATGTGTCTTAGTCACGATGATGTAACTTATAGGACCTTATCAACACAAAACAGGACCTCTATATTGCAGGTGACCGGCTTCCAGGCAAATGGCAAATTATTCGACGTCTTGTCAATCTGAACATGTAATTTCCAGCATTTGTGGCCCCTAAATGCGTGCATTTGAGGGGGGGGGGATCACAAGGTCACTAGCCTTGCAGCTTTATTTGACTGTCCTTATGCATATGACAGTTGTTTCGTCAGCATGGATTGGAGAATCAAGGAATTTATAAATTTGGCGGAGAAACGTCTTGGAGAGTAACTCCCCCCCAAAACCGAGAAGTAAATGGGGCGATAAAATTAAAATGGATATTACATAAACAGATCATGGGGATGTGAAGTAAAACGGGGTGGCTAAGGATCATGTCCAACGATGGAATCTTAGTATTTGGGCACTGAAACTTCTGTTTCAGAGATTTCATTACGTTCCCCGTACCTGAAATGGTTGATCCGTATTTTGAAGTCGAAAATCAGGAAATCATGGACAGACGTAATCTTAAGGTATTCAATTGGCATTCTTCACCTTACAAATTATATTTCATATTTTTTTAATGAAAGGTCACGTTATGTATAAAAAGAAAATTAAACTAATTTGCAACAGTAAAATAAATATTTCTCCTACGCGAAGTCGTGATCCAAACAGAGGCTCCAAATCTTCATGTAATAGGCATTCGTGTGTTGCACCAACTCCTAGCTTTACTTTCTTTTTTTAACCAGCGTTTGAATGGCAGTAATAGTTGTTTGATACAACAGGGTCTTCTTGGGAAACATTCGTCTAAAGAAATCTAATTCTGCTATAATATTACCGAGGGTATTACGAATCTGTGGAAAACGTAACGGTAATGTTACCGTTACGGTAATTACGTATGTAACAGAATTCTCTCGACGAGGCCTTATACTTCAACCTCCTCCTCCTCGACCTCCGCCTCCTCCTCCTCCTTCTTCACGGATTAGGACAACTTGCCTATTTTTATTCAGAATTAACTTCTGAAACTGCGAACCCTTTTAGACATCTGTTGGAACTTCTTGGACGAGGGACAGCACACATGCAAGCCTCAAGCGGGATGCAAACCCGAAATCCCAGTATTCTAGTAATCTATCTCATTGTTTCCAGTAAGCACTCCATTTTAGTTGAATCACCATGCACCATCTGCATCCCTCCGCTGATCGCTGTAAGGGCCACTTACCTACTTATGGAGCTGAGCCCTTCTGGAGGAGCCGCCAATTCTGCTGCTGCTCAAGAATTTCCCAGTATTTTATGGAACCCGAAGGTTCATTACCGTGTTCACAAGAGTCCTCCACTGGTCCCTATCCTGAGCCAGATCTATCCAATCCATACCATCCCATCCTATCTCTCTAAGATCCATTCTAAGAAATATGATTTTTTTTATGTTATTATAAGCTTCGACTGAAAAATGAAAGAACGTTTGCCGAAATAACCAGACTCTCCGAATTACAAGCTAACGTATGTGCTCAAACAGACTGACTTGTTTACAGACTAAGGAGCACAACATTTTAGAGAGGAATGTACCACAGATTACAGTATAAAGGACGTGCTGTTGTGGTATTCATGTTTGCGCATGTGCACCGCGTGAGTTAATCACTGCAAGTTGGGAAGTATGGGAGGGTGGTTAGTGGCGCTGCTGAGGCATGGTTGGTGTTTACTAGTCACTGCTAACATATAGTTAGTGGGGTTAGTGGTTACTAGTCAGGCAACATGGCGAAGTTTATGAGTGTGATTTTGGTAGTGTTTATATTATTAGTTACAACAGAAGTTCCTGAGATCTATGGACATAGTGTTAAATCACTTTATGTGACACCGCGTAAGGAAACTAGAAATACACATACATTCGAGGCACAAAGTTTAGTGTCTGATTCAACCGGTGTTTGGAAATCATATTCCTTGACAAGTCACAATTTGCTCAAGAGGTCTGCATTATTGGAAACCAACATCACGACCAATGTGAGTTTTCTGTAGTTGTCAAGAATTGTATGCTGGTATGCAATGTATGATAAATAAGTGCGTTGCAGGACGTCCCTGGTGTCGAAAGTGTTGTGTGGTGCAATACTACGCACTTAATTGTTGCAGGGCTGTTTGGTTCTGAAATGCTGTTGGTAACAAAATTTAGGTGTCTGTACAGTACCCTGTTGCATCGAACTAATAATTGGCAGTTGTATTTGTAAGATTATAATGTGCTATATTATTACTAAGCGTGATGATGAGTAACGTTCGATGTTGCCATGTCTCCTGAAACGACGTAAGAGCAGACGACATGACATGTCATTAGGAAGACCGGAATGGAAAAAAATCGCATGAGCTGGAATTTCAGATTGAGAGCCGTGACCAATTTGGGTCATTTTTTGATTTGTCTTTCTGGTACATACATACTACAGAGCTGCAAGATGTATATCCCAAGTGTTCAGGTCTGTAATGGTTATTACCTATTATTTGGGAGTTTCAGTCCCGAGAGCAGGTCTGAATTTAGTCAATTTGGGGCCTAAACTGGCATTCTCGAGACCTTACAGAAATACTACCAATTTAAAGGATGACAGTGTAAATAGAAACACCTAAGTTTCATACTGGCGAAGATGCATCGGAATATAGTACAGCTAGCACTTTTCTCACTTCTATATGCATAATCTTGTTTTTCATAAACTGCATGGAAGCAGCTACACCATTCAGCACCTGCTGAATAAGTACATATACATATCAACCATGCAGGACACTTTCATTTGTATATACTTTTTATTGTTTATTGTTATGCATTTGAGAGTTTTGAATGGTAGCATGAATGGGGACTACTGATTTGGAAGGAAGTGGTCATGGCCCAATCATGGTATTGGCCCAGCTTATGCCAGGAGGGACTGAGGAAAACTACAAAGAAAACCTGTGTGGCTGAGATTCAAACTAGGCATCTGCCAAATAAAGGTTTAGGTTGTTGTGGTTGCCCCAACATGCATGGTACTAGGTTTTGTATCAGTATAAATAAGCAGTGAAATTTTCCACGTTTTATGCATGTAATAGGTAGTGTAGGAATTTTTTTCTGCATCGTTCATTAGTGCAGTATCTTTGACTGTGAAAAATTGTTCTCATGATCATTTTTTTACCACTAGACTTTGAAATAATTACCTCCACATTAGGGGATGTAAGCTGAACCATAGTTACAGAAGGCAAAAATGAATGTAATCCAAATAATTTTGCTTAATATGAAAATGAAAGTACTTAATTTCACTGAGATCATCATTGGGATAATCTCTCAATAGAAGATTTGCACTTTAACACATGTTTTTACAAGGCAAGTAAATTAGATTTTTTTCAGAGCATTTTCAGATATAATGATTTTTTTTTCAAGCCAATTCATTATAAGAGCAAAGGGAATTTCATTCAGAACACACCTCTTGAAGAAATTCATCTTTATCTTTTTTAATTCATTTCCTTCTGTTCACATTTATTATTTACATAGGACGGCATTTTCTTCACCCCTGCACTTTTTTTGTTCATATTTATCCAGTTCTTATTGGTATTTTGCAAGGAATGAGAGAATGACGTGTATAGGTTTTCACTTAAGGCTGTAGGTTGTATAGGGCCTTACTGTTTTTGTAGAACTCAAGTAATAAAGAATTCATAAGTTCAGTGGTGTACATAATTTGAATCCCTTCATGTTTTCTTTTCTTACCTGTTGTTGTCATAAGTATGGATGTGAGTAAGCTCAAATAGCTTCTTTCGGTGCTGTGGAATTAGGGCCCTGAAAGCAATATGAGTTTTGCCCAGTGTGCTGTAGACACTGGAAAACATAATTTTATTGCACAATTGGCAGGGAAAAAGATTTATTTTTCTAGGAAGCACTTATCTGCAGTTCTTCTGTCTGGATGTGAGCATCAGTCACAAAGAATATACTGTATATGAGGTGAAAAAAAAGGTAAAGTTCTCCCTGTGCTTAACCAATTAAGTACTACACCATGAAGGCATATGGGGGAGCGGATGTATAGATCCACATTTTCTTGACCTCGACATTAGTCGGAGGTGAGTGATCAGCTTCAGGCCTCAGCTGCTTTATCTTAGGGGAAGAGCCCCCAGTACCCACTGTACATAATCATAGTGTAGCAGCCTCCGTAGTCTAGGGGTAACATTCCCACCTCATGACTAAAGGTGCGCGGGTTCAAACCCGGCGGAGGTCGTGGAATTTTTAAGGGCAGAAAAATTCAGGGAACAAGTCCTCCGGGAGGGATTTTAAGCCATGGGTCCCGTGTCGTAGATTTACGGCATGTAAAGGATCCTCATGTCTCTAGGAGACCTCTGAGCTAAATTAGGCAACAATTTGCCGCCCAAGTAGTTTCCAATGCCTCTGGTAGATGGGGGAAATAAGAGGTACTGACGGCCAACCTCGTTGGCTGAACGGGGCTGATAGCACGCACCAGTATCGGTAGGGTATGGGGACAGTAGAAATTAAAGGGGGACGCACAATGGACCAATAACTGATCTAAGTGCATGGGGAAACCCACCCCCTCTAATAATAATAATAATAATAATAATAATAATAATAATAATCATAGTGTGCAATAATGAACCTTCCGGTTCCATAAAATTCTTGGCAGTTCTTGAGTAGCTACACAATTGGCAGCTCCTCAAAAAGGGATCAGCTCCATGAGTGAGTGAATGATGTGATGGATAAATTTCTTTGTTGTATGCAAGTACATAAGATTTACAGGCCAAGAATTTTTATATTCTGTGTGATTAGCAAGAAATATCTCAAACTAATGGTTTAAGTATGCGAAAGTAGTTCTCAATTTGTGGAAAGTCAGATTTTTTCACATTCACTCCTGGAAGTTCATTTGTCACCTGCTGTCATATAATGAAGAAATAAGCTCTCAGATCACAGGCTTACCTGTGGTGTTTCACTAGTGATCACTATGATTTCAAATAGTGACTAGGGATAATTTTAGTCATCAACATAGTAGCAGTGCTATTACTTGGGTGGCTGTCTTGATATGACTGCATCTAGTTGCATGCTTATCATTTTTCTGTGAACAAATATAATATCCTACAAAATTTAAAGTCACACTAATATAAATTACTGTAATAGGATATTACACAATTTACCCCCATGTTATAATTCAGTACTATATAAATTAATCGTCCAAGTGTAGACTTTGTTTTAAAGGCATATATTCTTTCGTGTTAATAAGAGGCCGATAAAATGTAAACTCCTTTATTTTTAGGTTTTCCATCTAAATGATAGTCATCAGCAGTTGATGGTGCACTGGGCTGGTGAGGGATCAGATGTTATTTTATGTCTGGCTCGGGATTCCCCTAGATTGGGCGTAGGAGCCAAGAGTCAACCCTCAGCAGTGTATATCTCATATGACTATGGAAACAGGTTTGAGAACAAGACTGAGGATTTCAGGCTGGAAGGCAAACAGTTTCCCTATGCATTTTTGGAAAAATTTTTCATTCACCCTAAGTATAATTCTCATGTAAGTAATAATATATGGTAATACCATATGAGATGTGCTGTATTGTAGTTTGTGAGATATTAGGCTGTACTTGTTCATTATACTGCTCTTTATGTTAGCATTGAAAAGAATACAGGGTCCATACGAAATGCATGTTACAAGAGATGAAATTAATGAGCTTGAAACAAGCAATGAAAACAGAAATAAATAAATGTGTAGAGACATAAGTCTAATGCTTTTATATATAAAAATGTATTTTTTTTCATCTGCTAGGATGCTTGTGTACATTTTGTTACAGTACAAAAATCCACAATTTCTTTGTGATATAGCACATAAGAATGAACACAACCAGTAAAAGATGTTAAAGTGAAAAACCTTGGAAACATAAAGCCAAATGAGCCTATTGGCAAAAGTGGGTGGAAATGGAAAATTACATATACAGTAGAACTTGGTTATAACGTCATCAAAGGGACCTAAAAATAGTGTCGTTATAAACGAATGTCGTTGTAACCGAAATGGGCACTTCCACAGTAGCCTTATGTTAGTCACGTAAAAATCTACCAAAAACCGAGTTAAAATGTTGCATTTTTTAGTGAAATACATAGTTAAGTACAGACTAACGTAACATTAACGTGGAATTGCCCAAATGTGTAATATCAAAGACATATTACAGCGCTTTTCACTGACAGTACACACAATATTTCACGAATCACTTTAACTTTCTCTTCAATGCTTAAAACTTTCCTTTTCATTGCCATGTTTTCGCTACTGCACTTCTCTGGGTTTAGGCAGGAACACTATAGGGTAAGTAGACAATGTGAGGTCCTGTTAGACGAGATTCTAGGAAAGGAATGCAGTTAACAACCTGCCGCGTCCTCTTGCACTATTCACGCAGTCCCACCCCACACCCTTGTTTTCGCATAAAACCCACGCTCCTCTTGCAGCCCGCGGTCGTATTCTTCCAGGACAGTCACGTCAGCAAGTAGAGAAAGTGAGGGTGGGCAGACACATCGAACTTTCCCACGATATCAGAGAAATTCAGGAATGAAAATGACGTTACATACGAGGTTGATGCATTTGTGCATGTCGTACTAAGCAAGGTATAAAAACAGTTGCTTTATGAGGAATTAGTTCGTACCATTGAATATTTGATGCAATAGACAAGGTGTCGCAGAAACCGATGTTGCTATAACCAAGTTTTACTGTAGTTAATAACTGCTGTTGCCTGTGAACTTCTGTGTTACAAACTTAATTTAAGCAAGTGCTTAAAAATTTCAGTGATACCCATGCTCTAAAAATTTGTGCATCCCTCCATTAAACTTTTTTTAACCCTTACGCTGCTGCAGTCGACATATGTTGCTCTCTGAAAAACATGGCGTCCTTGCTGTGATCGACAAAACCCGTATTGCAAATTTAGATTTTCAGATCTCAGATTTCTTTGCACCAGTCTCATTCAAACTTGGCGGGTGCATAGAGTCATCTATTGCGAACATAATGAAGCATCATTCATTTCAATAGCTGCCTTCTTCTGCCCTCTAGCTTAAGAAATGTAAAAGGTTGCATCTGCACAGTGAGGCACCCACTCAGTGGTCATGTGGCATGGGTATCTCACAGGGCTAGTAAAAATGGTCTTGTATAGTTTTAAATAAAGTTGTGGACTTTGGTCAACATGTGACGTAGTGATAAGACTAGGATAGTGAATTATGTACTTTTTGGCCATCTTGGACAACCCTGATTTAATGGACTTTTCCCCTGTGAAAAATACTGAATAATTCAACATTTTTGCGACTTCTGATTCCTATTCTCTGTCTGAGGTAACATTAGTTACATTTTATCACAAATTTTCATACTTTTCACTTAAATTATTTATAAAGAAATTTATCAAAAATAATTCAGCGCAGAGGGTACTGAGAGTTACTTAACATACTAGCAGCGAAAGGGTTAAATGATTATAAATGTGATGTCACAAGAAATTTGCTTTCCCATGCATTAAACAATTTTTAAGCCGTTTTAAATGGGAGTGTGCTTAATCACACAAATGAATTATTTAGGTAAACATGTATGAAACTCTGATAAATATTATTAATTGATAAAAACTTAAAGTATGTTGATTTAAAAAATGAAAAAAGTGCAAAAGATGTTCTTTATAAACATGGCAACACATAAATTTAAATAGGGAGGAAACATGATGAAATCTTTGTTCAGTTGAGGAGGCTGTTGTGTAAAGTTTGGAAATCATTGTATTTGCATAAAACTTTTAAATTTATATATCTAATAACATTTCATAACCTGTCTATTTTACAATAACTTTATATTTTGTACAATAAATGACATTATATATCTCAAGTGAGCCGTGAGCACAAAAAGGTTGAGAACCAGTGGTGTATACACTGGGACAGAGAAAGTGTCAAGTTTCTCATTTCCTTTCCCATTGATATTGATGAAGGAGAGCATCCTTTTAAGTTCAGGTCTGGTTAGATTTGGTTCATGTGATATGGACAAGGAAAGCAGTCATATACCGTGTGAAGAATAGTCGCACCTGTTAAGCATACAGCTGGTTATCTGATCCTGTATCTGATCCTGGATTTGATGATGCTGGAGTGCTATTGAAATATAGCCACTGCTGGTCTGATTTTGATGAAATTTATCCTAGATTTGATGATGCCAAAATTTTATTGAAATATAACCACTGTTTCTAGAAAACCGAGATTAATGGCCATGGGGAACCGTTGCGCTGACCACGTGACACCCTCTATCCGCAAAAGTTGGCACTAACTTCGCCGACAAGTGGCTGTCGCTCGGTCAATATAGTTTGCTTGCGGGCTACAGGCCACAGAGTTTTTTTCCCCCCTATAACCGCTGTTGGTCTGATTTTGATGAAATTGGCATAAGCAGGAAGAATAACATTATGTTTTCATATTGTTGTAGTTGTTCTACTCAAAACAAGGAGGAATTAGAACAACATATGAAAAGTGCTTTCTTTTCAATTTGTGAAGCAAATCAGGAAGCATATGCATAGCATTACATTTCAGGTTGCAAATGCTGCCTTTCATTTAATTATCTCAGAAAAGACAAAGTTTTAATTCTCTCAGAATAACAGTTGTACTAGAATTTCCAAGTATGCTTTAATTAACTGTTTATTTATAAACATTTAAACCTATAATTCAGGAGGGAAGAAGGTTTATTGAGTTGTCATCAGCAGTAAGAAACATGGATACTCTTTGTATCCTGAAAATCGTGTCTGATTGTTGAATGTACAAGTTTGTAAATGTATTCATTGTGTTCATTTCAAGTATTCTGAAAACTAACACTTGTGGGAAATATATGTCAGACATAAAAATGCGTTGTCCAGTTGTCTGATACATTTTTTGCTCTGATAAATATTTAGCAGGTTATACTTGAGTTATGTGCAGGAATCTTCATGTAAAGTATCATTAATATTTGTTTGGTTTTACACAAAATTAATGTGACTTGACAATTTTTATATAAAATTCCTTTGTGTCAAAGTAATTTCATGGAATTATTCAACAGTTATCAGTTTTTATATACTTACAGACAGACAAATTGATGGACAGCAGTTTTAACAAGTACTCCACGTGAGTGCAAACAGGGCTAAAGAGAGTTAAAACAGGTTATAATAATTACAGTTCCAGCTTGTGGAAATAAATATGCATCATTGATAATATATAACTTCTCTGTACAAGTGAGGTGGTTTGAATACTATGCAGTATCCTTGTATTTTTCAGTGTGTATTTACAGATCCTCTGAATCAAGTAATTTTTGTAACAAAAAATTATGGAAGAAACATCACAAGGATGAATGTTACATTCTCTCCATCAGAAGTTTCTTTTCATGAAGATGAACCACTGACCTTCCTTGTCTTTGATAAAGTAGATCCTATAAAACGGGTAAGTTTGAGATATTTACTAGAACTTAATAGGTGAGTCCTGTCGTATATATCTTGGATATTAGTTTGGCATTTTGATGAGTATGATTTACTAGTATATGAGATATATGGAGTTCATGGTGATATCATTTCCTGCATTATGATTCTGAGTAGTATGGTAGGTGGTTGCCAATGTAACAGAGGAATATGGTGGTACTGCCTTCATGTGCAGGACGTTTTATCCGTTTTGAAATATTGGTAACCACCTACCACATTACCCAGTTTCATAAGCTAGAAGACTGCAGAACTATGGCATGTTATATGAATGTACTGGTTATACAGCTGCGCAGAGCTGTCCCATGGTGGGTATAAATATTTTTACACTGTAAGTCCTTGTACTTTTATCAACAGTTAAATTCAGTGGCTGTACCCTTTTCAACTGCTTTTCACTCTGGACTGCTTTCTTTAGCTGCATTATGCTATAGATCTTGTTTCCTTTCCTTTTCCTAAGTGTGGTTGAGGCCCTTATATTCTTCCAGCTGATTATATATCTGGCTTCACTCAGGTTGACGTAGCAATGTTTCTGCGAGGAATTTTCTTGTCCCTTTACATTGGAGGTAAGAAGCGGGGGCAAGGAGATTCTAGGAAGGGACTTGGTTGAGATAATGGTATTAAGAATCTTTACATGGCATTGAAATAATACTTAGGTTTCACTGAAAAGCGGTTATTATATTGAAATTCTAAAGTTTCTAATCACCTTATGTTGGTTTAGAATTTAATGGAAATGAAACTTCTATAGGAAATGAGACACTTCTTTTCCTGCAGTCACATTGCATAGCATATGAATGTTAGTGATTTGTCAGTGACCATTACAAAGTCAGTAAAAAATTATCTGAGAATTAAGTTAAATTTGTAGATTGCTGCCTGCATGATAAAAGCACTTCATAGGTGTGATATCTCAACTAATATAATATGAGACATAGCTGTAGCTTACATGCACTGTGGATCAATTGATAACATAATGCTGGAGAGTTTTATACTTACTAATTACCAGGGCCTGGATTTTGATGACCTAAAAATATTTAAAAAATGACCTATAAAATGACCGAAAAATCAAAAAAAAAAATGACCAAAAATATGACCCAAAAATGTAATATGTAGGGCCCGGGTTTTGATGACCTGAAAATATTTAAAAAATGACCAAAAAATTCCAGAAAAATGACCTAAAGGAGAAAGAGAAAGAACACTTCGCTTCCATATTATTCACATTTCAAAAAACATGAAATATTCCCCCAAATTACCAAAAATGACAAGAAATACCCTTAAATATTCAAATTTACCCCCAAATTACCCCAAAAATGAAAAAATGGCCTTAAACCTAAAAGTGTCAAAAAATGACAAAAAGTTACCTATTACCTATTAATAGTTACCTATTAAATTTACATTTCTGTAACCAGCAGCTCATATCCGAGATTTATGTATTTAAGAGCATCGCATAGGATACAAGGAAAAAAAAAATGACATGTCATCAAAATCCGGGCCCTGCTAATCACAAATGAAGCATCTGTGTGAAGCACTTCTGCAGTTTTGCGATTTATGCCACTCGTGTGGTATTGTTCTGGTAGTTAAGTCACAGAGGGGAAGAAATTTGTTCAGAATTTTGATAGGGAAAACTGTTGAAGTTGGCCAGCAGTTGATGTATTATAAGGTAAAATGGATGTTACTGGATATGATGGAAAGCTTGACAGGGTCATGTCTGCTGGCCAGCTTTGGTATTAGTGGGTTAGAACAGGAGTACCAGGAAGCTAAGTGTCGAATTTTGTTCTGCAGTTTTGATTTGCATTTTAAAATGTACATTATTTGTAGATTAAACGAGAAAGTCTTTTGTGTATTTTCAGAAGTTATTTTCACAGTTTGATAACTTTCTGACTGTTATATTTGAGTGTTCTGTATGGTGTATTGTGTTCATAACAGCTGTGGATAACAAGAGACTATGGGCAGACCTTCTCAGTGGTCCAGGAGTATGTGAAAGCATTCTTTTGGTCCAGTGCAGATACCGATGGAAAACCAAGGCTTCTGTATGTGGAACGTGAGGAACCCAGTGGAACATCAACAGTCTTGGCATTATCTGCCATGGATGAAGGACGAAATTATGTAGTGCTCATTCGTGGAGTGGAAGACTTTCAAGTCAGAGATGACTTCATGTTTGCAACTAAAAGGGTTGATAAGGTAAATATTTGTGCTATATTTGACTCATTTTGAAAGGCTGGCTTTCACATCATGATCTTACAAACTGTTTTATATTCTTTTAGTGGAAATCTTTGAAGACACTACTCATACATAAAATTCCATTAAGTTTTTGCGAGAGTTGAGATAATATGGTTGATTTGACTGTGATGTAATTTTATGTATTAAAACATTTTCCTGATTTTTGGCTTAATTTTTTGCCTTTACTGGCAGAGGTTAGTTTCATGTAGCAGTCTGAGGTTGCAGAAGTTGAGGATCAAGCTCGAGCTGAGTACGTCTGCTGTGTTGTTTTTTTTTTTTTTACAATCTAATTGTTCTGGGAATGTAATGTCTCTGTAGTAGTATATCTGTTGAAGGTGGTACTGACTACACCAAATTTCTTTTATAGAACAACTTGGATCTCTATGTTTCATACAAACAAGGACACTTTATGCGAGCGCGTTTCCAATCTGAGCTGGATCGTCGAGCATATCATGTGGCAGATGTGAGTGATGGACAAGTGATGGTGGTTGTGAATCACACGGATATGCTTACCAACCTCTATGTGTCACAGCTAAAGGATTCTTCGGGCATACAGTTTGCCCTCTCACTTGAACGAATATTCTGTTATTTTCCAAACTCCACCTGGATGGGCAACTGGTTGAGGTGAGGGTCATATCTGGTGTGAAGTTGCGTAGAACGCAGATTTTCTTACTACATTCAGGCCCGGTTTGAAATTAATCAGGTTACACCTATAGCATGACCATTTTGCCATAGAAGTAAATCTTTTCAGTCATATTTTTAACGTGTTTCCACAATCATTCAGTTTTATATGCAAGGGTGGTTTAAGGTTAACCCGTACTTTATTTTTCTCCTGAAGACACCAGTATCAGAAAAATGAACTGTTTTTAGACAGTTGGTGGGAACACTACATTCACTGCCTGGCAGGTGGCCATGCATCCAGCTTCTGCACCCTTGCGCTAGTTCAGTATGACATTAGAACTTGTCACTCCTAGTGTGGAACAACGCTGTATCATATATCTGGTGAAGGAGAAAGTAAACCAGTAGAAATTCTTTGTAGGTTAAGTGCACAATAGGGGGGAGAGAGGTAAAAGAATATTCATGTGCTTAAAAATATAAATTACCCTTTATGAAATGCATTTATCTTCCCTGTGTGACTGTCTTGGAAAAGAGTTGTGTCTGTACTTCAAACTTACAGAATGATCATTGTCTTTGTTGTTGAAGTCACTGATAGATTTCACAAGTTAGTTGATTTGTGCATGCAGAGTTCCCTCAACTACATCTTGAGACATTGTAAAGTAGAAAAACAGTGTTCCAACTTTGGTGATATCATTGGAGTCATATTTTGAGGACTTTTGTTGTTTCGCTGAAAATTTATTTAACCGTGTGTTGCTTGTTGCAGAATTTTCATATCTCTTGTAAGATCTGCATGCCCACATGGTTTATTTTTTCTATAACTAGGTAATGTTCTAGCACAGTATTTAACTCCTTTTCAGGGAAATGACACACCCATTCTTTAAGTGGTTCAGCACCAACCAGTTTGGCCCCAGTTAGGTGACTGTCATGTGAAAACTTGCCTTCAGAATGTATTGCAGTAGTATCACAAGTTTTCTTTATGACCTGTCATGAATTTGAGTAACTGTTCTTCTGTTGGTTGAAGAGCAATGTTGTGTTGCCGTTGTAAAGAGCTGCATATTCATTAATCCATTCCTGAGTATTCACAGTTGTGGTTTTGAAAGCTGTGATTGCAGTCTTTTCTGTTGTAAAAGGTAAAAGAGTAAAGTTTACGCCATGAAGATGTATGTGGGGAGTGGATGTATATATCCACATTTTCTTGACCTCGGCACTAGCTGAAGATGAGCCTTTCTGTTGATTTTTTTTTAATTTCTGCTTTTTAACTTTTTGTGCACGATATCTACTTCTGACACAGTGAGAACAAAGAAGGAAAGAAAGAAGGCAGCAGAATTGTTCATCATAAATAGATGAAGACATCCATATTAATCGGTGCTGAATATCAAGCAGAACCTTACAGAAATTTTTCCTTACATTTGTTTGAACTCTTCCATGTTTTGATTCACGGTATATTAGAATCCAGATGGAATTATTGTATATGTGCATTATACTTCAGGCATCATTGCCAGACAAATAAACATAGTTCAAATTTTAATGAAGTTTGAAAGAGAAGTTCTCATTTTGTATTACACAGATTTGCTAGTCCAGCTCATATGTTTGTGTTCTGTTTCACATGCAGTGATGTGGTGGATGAATCCTTTGCTGATCTTACCAAGGTACAAGGACTGCGTGGGATCTATATTGCATCTCAGATTACCTTGTCAACTGGAATAAGCCGTGTGGGACCAGAACACATCTCAACTTATATTACATTTGACCGTGGTGTGGAATGGAGACCTCTGGAGGCCCCTATGTTTGATGATGAAGGCCAGCCAATTGCATGTGTGATGGTAAGCTTGCATTCTAATTGCCTTTTCCTTGTGTTTGTCTCTTGTAAGAAATTATTTGCATTTATCCTGTTTTCTTGCTTTCAGGCTGGCAACTGTTCTCTGCACTTGTCGCAAAGGTTCTCTCAGTTGTACCCTGTGACTCGCTCTGTTCCTATCCTTACTACCAAGTCAGCTCCTGGTATCATTATTGCTATGGGCACTGTAGGAACATCTCTGAAAGGCCATCCTGGCGTGTTCCTTAGTCGTGATGCAGGTCTTACATGGAGGCAGGTGAGTTGTAAACATGTTATGGAAACCTCACAAAATATTTCCATGTTATGTCTCATGTTCTTTATAGAAGATATAAAATAGAAGCTTCTGTGTGATACCTTTACCATTAAGCTATAAAGATATGCCATCACAGTAATGTAATGCATGGCTGATAAAGGTTAAAGAAATAGGTAATGAGTTTTTTCGGTTTCATTCATATAGCTGAAATTATAGTCCGGTATACACTGTGAATATAGTAATTGAACTTTCAAGCTTGAAGAAAGGGACAAAATTTACTGACAAGCTGAATAACTGGTAGCTTCTTGAGAAGGAATCTATTCCATGTAGTTAATTTTGATACAGAGACACAAAAGAACTGAATAGATTTTTGATTCATCCAGACTGAAATATGTAACGACTAATAGGGGCCAGCAGTGTCATGTGCATTCTTATTTTGACCGTGACTTAGGTGTTTCGAGACTACTACTACTTCAATGCTGGGGATCATGGCGGTGTTCTGGTAGCAGTTAAGTACTTCAGATCACAAGGGGAGACTCGAGATCTTCTGTACTCTACAGATGAAGGAGAAAATTGGTACAAACACAGCTTCCATGCTGAAGATCTACGGATTTATGGCCTTATGACTGAGCCTGGTGAAAATACGACTGTTTTCACCATGTTTGGTTCTGCAATAGGACATCATCAGTGGCTAATAGTTAAGGTGGACCTAAGCAAGGCTTTTGGTAAGTCTCGGTGTAAAAAGTAAAGTAAAGTTATCCCTGTAAGAGGCCGTGAAGGCCCATAGGGTTGTGAGATGTTGAGGGTCCCACATTATCTAGACGATCAGCTCAAAGATGGCGGTAAGGTTGTCAGCCTTACGCGCCGGCCGTGCTTTACTCCCAGGAAAATTATTTAATTAAGTCTCAGTGTAGTCTCTGCTTAAACTTTTAGGATCATAAGAGCCTTTGATTCTGTTGCACCCTCAGTCCCCATGATATACCTTCAGTCACCACCACTTAACTGACAATAGCCTCTAAAGATATTTTGGAGTTAGTTGAAAAAATGGCATTTACTTTTTGTGTTTTTGAGGTCACCTTGCTGTTGGTCTGGCTGTATATCCATTTGTGCCACTGTCTTTGTATCTGTTTCTCCCCATACATTTTGTTAGGAGGCTGTGAGATTACCTTGTAGTCTTCCCCCCCCTCCCCAAAAAAAAAAATTCACACACTGTGTGGTCAGTGTTGTATCAAAGGAAAGTGGGTGATTAGTTCCTCTCAACACTTGTTGAATCATATACATAGTATTTACCTTGATTTTTGAAAGTATGGATCCCATTGAAAATCACAGCTTCAGAATTTTATTCCATTTCATATGTGAACTTCCAGCCATTGCAGAAAAACCTGAAGCCACGTGACACTTTGAACCATCTCCAAGTAGCATGTTCCTTGTAATTTTATTTAGTCATTCACTAACCCCCCCCCCTGACCACTAAACAAATTGGGTATTACTGGATTAATTAAATGATTCCATCAGTATAACCACTGGTTATATTGCTCAGTTATATCTTTTCTACTTTAATTAATAACACTTTCAGTGACTGAGACTGTTTAGCACCAAATGATTGGTTGATAGTGAATTGTAAAGAATGTGGAAGGAAGTGGTTATGACCTGATTGTAGCTACTATCTTGGCTCCAGTTACTGTGGCTAATTGTTAGCCATTAATGACAATTCAGAGTACAGGACAATTATCACAAGAGTTCCAAGTTATGATAGCTATCATATGTTGCCAGTTATATCACTAACAATCATGTAACATGTTGCTTACCTGAACAAGGTTGATGCAAAGATGACTCTTGCAGGTAAATTCCATTCAACATGCAAATGAACAAGTACATCTCAAACTTTTTTAGATGCCTTAGAGTATAATGAGAGGTTTTTATCCTGTGTAAATACAGTGTTTGACCTTGTATCCAGTGTCTGAGTCTGGAAGAACTTGAAATCCACTTCTTTTTCAAGATTTTTTCTTTTTCCAAATTCATTTACAATTCTTGCAGTTTACTATGTTGTCATGTCCTTGAGATGGTGAGTGTATGAAGAGGGAGCATATTTCACATAGTATGAAGCAGTAATTGATGGCAAGAAGCAGATAAATGTATAAATCTTAGAAAGTATAAAAGTGAGAAAGCTTGCTGGACAAGAAGTAAGATATACGGAACTGTAAGGTTTCTTATTTTGGACCCTATCCATCATCTGATATATATGACAAAAAACCACAACGTTTCGGAGACTGGATCTGTCTCCATCCTCAGTTGGATGGGGCAAGATAGACCTACTCAGTTGGGCCTGTTAGAAAGAGCTAGTCTCAATCACTGGACCTTAAAAAGAAGGGTATAATGACAAAAAACCACAACGTTTCAGAGACTGGATCTATCTCCATCCTCAGTTGGATGGGGCAAGATAGACCTACTCAGTTGGGCCTGTTAGAAAGTGCTAGTCTCAATCACTGGACCTTAAAGGGAACGGTATATACCGGTTCCATGCCAGTTACACAGATAGACTTGAAAGGATTCTAATGATGGTGTATGCTGTACAGAACTGTAAGGTTTCTTATTTTGGACTCTATCCATCGTCTGGTATATATGACAAGGTCCAGTGATTGAGACTAGCTCTTTCTAACGGGCCCAACTGAGTAGGTCTATCTTGCCTCATCCACGTGAGGATGGAGACAGATCCAGTCTCCAAAACGTTGTGGTTTTTTTGTCATATATACCAAACGATGGATAGAGTCCACAATAAGAAACCTTACAGTTCTGTACAGCATACCATCATCAGAATCCTTTCAAGTCTAAGAAGTAAGATGTCGATAGTGCATACTAGTAACTAATATGTGTGAAGGGGTTCTTTAAAATAACATTTTTTTTACAAAGTGCTGAGGACAATGTATAGCATGGATGATGTATTGAAAGAATGGAAGAAAAGAATATATATTTATATGAAGCAGCTTTGCAGTTTGTATTTATCACCTAATATTTTTAGGATGGTTAAACAGAAAGAGCAGAATGGACAAGGCGTATAGAAAATTTGCAGAAAACAATAAATCTTACAGAAGTTTGTTTGAAAGTGTCAGAGAAAGAATTGACTTGGGGAATCATTAGAATTGGTCAAAGATTAGTATTAAAATGGATTTTGGAGTAGTAAGGAATAGCTGTCAGCAAAATGGTTGTTTCTGGCTGGATGACTGGTTTAGTTCTTGTCACATGTAGAAATATTTTTCTTTATGCCACATTCAGACTGGCTGGATGTCCATCCAGCTTCCTCTTCAATGGTTACTGTACCTTACTCAGCAGTAAAACTGACCATTCATGTCCATCTGTTGCTGAGGTTAAAAATGTGCTGAACTTTACCTGCACTCATCCATCTTCATGGTGTGGTACATGAGAGGAAGGATGTAAACTTGATTTGACATGGTTAGGACAGGGTCCTGTGGTGAGGTGTTTTTTTTGTGGTGAAGATAAACTGTTGGGTTTTGTAGCAACAGTGGAATTTTTTGATTGGTTAGTTACTGCTGCTCAAGAAAAACACTGTACTTTGGATGTATTTGAAAAAAGAAAAGCAGGATTTAATTGCTATTTGTGCTTACATTATATTTCAGGTTATAACTGTACTGATGAGGATTACAAATTCTGGTCACCAAGTGCTGGCAATGGCAGCTATATGCCGTGTGTGCTGGGTCGCAAAGAGACATACCAGCGGCGCATTCCTCACTCAAACTGCTTCAATGGTCGCAATTATGATCGTCCTATTAAGATGGAAATTTGTGAATGTGGTGTAGAAGATTATGATTGGTAAGGCTGCTTTTATCTTGTGTAATGTATCACGGGGCATATTTTATGGTTGTTCATGCAGATGATTAATGCACTAAAGATGTATTAGATAACTCTGCAAACAGAATCTTGAGGTTCAACTCCTCTGCGGCTGTAGGTTACAGTCAAGCAGTTAACACTCTTGCTTCATATTCAGGGGGTCCTAGGTTCAAATCTTGGTCTGGAGACCAGCTATTCTGATATAGGTGTTCTGTGTTTTTGGTAGTCCCTCCAGGTAAATTAGGGCATAACCACATCCTTCAATGAACTTTCATATTTATTTGTCGTCCTGTCTTTGATACTGATAGCCTGAGCTAACAAAATCATTAATTACACAAGTGATGGATTGAAGAATGGTTGGGTGGTTGGTTGGTGGGGAGTGGAGGTTGGCAGGCAGTTGAATAGGAGGGCACATGAAAACAGACATAGACAGTCAGACAGATGGATGAGAGGTCATTATCCTGAGCCATTTCAGTTGAGCTGCACATCCCCATTATTTCCCTAATATACAATTTTGATACTATATATCTTGCTCAGTCTTCCATGTTATCTTGTTGCAAGAGGTTTCCTCAGCAGTCGGTAGTCATTGTTTCCATCATGAGCCACATTACTGGGCTGCTATAATTTTGATTGACAACTGTAACGGCAAGGTGAACTGTATAAATTACAAATCCTCATAATTTAGTATCCATTCTCAACAGATTGAAGCCACACAAATGAAATTATGGTCAAGGGATGTACAACATTGGATGGGTTTAGAAATGATGAAACCTGATGGTTAGAACGTTTGCAAAGAATGGTTGATACAACGACAGAAGATGCCTTCCATTGTCCACCAGGAAGATTTCCTGTGCCGTAAAGGAAAAATTATAAATTTACTAATTTTTCATAGTTCATATACAGTTGCAGTTTATTGTTTGTCAGAGGAAGAGATCTTGCAGAATTTATTTTATGATCCATTGAGTTGTTACGAGAATACCCTGAAGATGGAGGCAGCAGGTTTTTCTGAAATGTTTGTACTTATCTACCATATTACATGGTGTCATCTTAGTATTTACAGGTGAAAGAAACTTGGATCTCGTATGACCATGCAGGAACTTTGATTATTCAAGTTTCCTTGCTCGTGAATGAAAACTAGTAATGAAGTTTTAAAATATTTGCTGCTATTTTATTTCTTTTTGAAAAATGATGAAGTAGTAGTTTGAATTGTACCATGGAAATATATAAAATTATATTTGCCCATGTCAACATCCTACTTCCACCAGCTATGAATATTTCTTTTTTACATGCGTTATTCGCAGTGCACAAGAATGCTACTTGTTACTGTCACTGCTTATTTTTTTAATATATTGCTACGTGTTTGAGTGACTAAAGACAGAGTTTCGATTGGTAATTGGATTTATTAACAATGTACAAGTTGTAACTACAATTAATTATTACACTGTTGCTGATTTACGCAATTTACAATCATTCCACTCTAGTCATCTCAGTCTGTTTCCACTTGTCTTCACTATCTGTTTCCTGGCTACTGATTTATAACACAAACTGTAAGTCTCACTAAATTATGCACTTCCATTATCGATGTACTACAGCACATATAATGTCACACACTAAGTTGTCTAAATCTTCTTCTGGCCACACTGCTGTTCCCATGGGACTTAGAAATTCAAGTGAAGTCCGTCTATTACTCACTCCTCCAGTTTACGATTGCCTACAAATGACCTCTGCTGCCCTCCACAAACCTTCAGCCTGAACATACAGAAAACATGTCATATGGTCTCTATCCACTGTTGTGTGACATCACTGCCTACGTGGAAGTGTGTTTACCAAGCCATTGTCTAGAAATGGGTTGCGGAACCTTGCTGTTCTGTTGTTGCATATGTGTAATGCAGGGTGTTTATTAAGCCATTGCCTGGCAGTACATTGACATGTTACAATATGTTATTTCTTTAAAATGCCAACAGAGATATACCATGCATAATGTACAGTGTTACACTGATAATGAACATTTTCCCTTCTTTCTGTATCATAGTTAAGTTCTAGCACCAGTACAGATGTTCTTTGCTCTATCTTTTGCAGTGATGTTGGATTCATGAGGACCACGTCTACAGGGTTGTGCATCCGTAACAGAACAACTGATCTAGATCCGTATAAGCCCCCCTCTTCTTGTCAACCAGGAGAGACTTACGAACGTACTAAGGGCTATGTTAAAATTGCTGGTGATGTCTGCACGGTTAGCAATGATGATCAGTTCAGACCAGATAAAATTCCTTGCCGTGTTGAGTATGTAACTTTAATCATCATTTTTCACCATACATTAAAAAAATTTCTCCCATTGCATATTAGTTTAAATAAAAAAAACTTTTAACAGTTTGTTGGACACCCCACTGAGAAATTTGGTTCAAACAGTAATGCTTCTGACTTGTATTTGGGAGGTGTCTGGTTTGAATATTGACAGGGATACCTGTTACCTGACTTAACAGTTTTTGTGATTTTCCTCAGTCTGCAGGAAAATTCTGTGATAATCTCTGAATTAGGCCGTGACTGCTTCCCATCATGCTTTCCAATTCATTATTCATTGCCATCAAAACATTTGATACTATGTTGTCTAAGTTACCAGCAGTCTTAAAATTACAAGTAAATACTACTACATACTTGATTTAATTTTAACTAGTTACATATCAGTTAATGTGTGAACTACATACAAATATCCTGCTTCCTAAAGAAACCACACACCCAGTTTTAAGAAATAAGTACTGTAATGTATGTGAAATTAACGAAGTATTAAAATGTACATGTTAAATGTAAGTGTGCATAGTACATAATGTTGTGAAATTTGGTTATGTTCCTTGCATATTTCCACTACTGCCTTGTGTTTTCCAGGATCATACATCCTGTCATTGGGAGACATTTTTCTTTTCTGATATGCAGATTCTTTGTTTAAAAGATCCCCACCCTCCATCCCTGCTCAGTACAGCACACTTGAACTTTCACTTCTAACATATTTGCAAAACATTTATTCTGTATCAGAAATTAATACCATAGTTTCTACTCACATTGTGATTTCTAATTTATTCTGCCTCTTGAATTAAATTGAGCTTTTCACTATCTTAAGGATTGTAAATACATGCATTTAAAACATGTATGTGTTATCATCATAGACAAACATTTAATCCTTAACTACAGACTGTAGCTGTGCATGTGTCTGTGTATAGAAAAGCATGTTAATGAAAGTTAATGTGGAATTCAGAATGGGCGGGGGGGGCAGCATGTGATAGTATAGTTCGTTGAGGCACTATGCTACAGGCCGGAAGGTCAGTGGTTCCATTTCTGATGGAGTTATTGGACTTTTTCAGTTGACCTAATCCTTTCAGCTGCAATATGACCCTGATGTCTACTTCAGCCCCTAACAGAAATGAGTACCAGGAATCTTCCGGGGGTAAAGAGTGGCTGGCACATAAGGCTGATGACCTCACTGCCTTGCCTAGAAAATGTCGGAACATTGAAGGCCTATTACAAGGATAGTTTTACTGTACTTTACTCTCTCCCCCCTCTCTTTGGGTCACACACTTTGGACTGTTGCTAATCCCATCGGCTGTTTCATTTTTGAAAAAAATATACATGGTATTTGAGAAAATACAGTAATATTTTTGCATTAGCTTGATTAGTTTTCACATAATATTCCATTATTATGAATTGTAAAATATTGACCAGTATTGTTGGAGACATTTCATGTGATATCATGTGTGATTTGATTGTTCTTTTATTAGTGAAGCAGAAAAATGTTGATTAACTGGAATAGTATTTTGCAAACTATTTCAGTTAATAATTATTTAATGTAACTTCCATTCCTTGGCAATTCCAATGTAATTTTAAATACTTCTCAGAGCAAATTAATTAGATATTCTTTGGTTTTCCTGTGATAAAAGTTGTTTCTTTATGAAGTTGATTTTAACACCATTGGAACAGTTATTGCTTGACATTTCAGGTTTGTTTTTGGTTGAAATGTGTATTGTACAATATTTTTATGCAGTAATCATAATGATGCAGTTACAGTACCTAATAGATTTATGTAATTACTTTCAGTGAGGAGCAAGAATTTCTCCTTCTTGCACAACGAGATAAGATTACACGAATAAATTTGGACACTGACAGTACCCTTGAGCCACTACCAATTTTTGGTCTCAAAAATGTCATTGCCATTGATTTTGACATGCGTAACAACTGTGTGTACTGGGCCGACATTATTACAGACTCTATCGGTGTAAGTATGTCTGAATAGTTTAAATGTCCAGGTGTGTAGTAGGCACATCTGTGAACTAGGGCCGCCATAGTTATTCAGTCATTATTTAACCACTAATTAATTTATTCAGCTGATTGTGAGGACACAAAATATTAATAATCATCTGATTTTCCAACTTGTATGCAGGTCATCTAATAACTAAGCTACTGAATGTTGCAGTTGAGTGGATAGCACCACTCCTTATATGGGAGGTCCTGGGATAAATTATTGGTTTGGAGACTGATCATTTTGTTGTTGTTATTGTTGCTTTCCTTAGTCCCACCAGTTACACGATGAGGTAGTACCTCAGACTGAACCATGATTGCTTCCTTATACTCCATTGTAATTCATTATTTATCAACTAATCTTGTTGCCATTTGATACTGTATAACATGAGCTACTAACAGCTTTGTTAAATAAACCAAATAGAAGAAAATGAATATGTAAATAATAAATAAGGCTCTCCACCTACCTCTGTCTTCTTAAAGCCCCTCATCAGTTTTCTCCCATGTTATAGTTTGTGGCATTTATTTTTTTCTCTGAATTCAAGATTTAGTTTCAGGTGCATTATCTATTGTCATTTGTTGAAGTTCTGAGCTTGGAACTGTTTTCTCAGTTCAAGGTGGTGTCAAGAATTTTAAAATAAATGTTTGTATTCAAATGTACTTCATTATAGCATTAATCAACAACCTGTATTATTATTTTGTGAGCCTAACCTACATTAACACATTTTGTATGCAAGGTTTATGCATGACACTGAATGAAGTGCAAATATGAGAATTTAACTGAAGTAATCTTACAGTGTTTAAACGGTACATTCATATATGCTTTAACATGTAGAAGTACACAAAATGATGATAGATTTCATGAAAAAGTACTTGTGCATGAAATATGGTTATTATAACAAATAGTGCACAGAGAATGGTGCAGGTGTCACATAAATTACCATTATTGTTGTATAATGTGTCAAGAAGTAGCTCCACATGGTAATTAAGGAGTGTGTGATTTATATTGGGATATGTCAATGAAATGTTATTTTCCAGGACTAACTGATAATTTAGCCAGATGTTAGTATCTTTATCTGCCTGTCTGTTTCTGTTGTTCCCACTTGGAACATAGGGCATCTGTGAAATTATTTTTTTCACTTCAGTTTCTTAATCATAGAGAGTCAGTAGGACTCCCTGGATGGGTGATGAGCGCATCACAAGGCCGCTTCCTACACACCAACACAGACTAAATGCAGACAAACATCCATGCCTTGAGTTGGATTTGAACCCATGATCCCTTCAGGCTAAGTCATTTCATGTCTTAGACTGCATGGCCACTATGATTGGACATTAATATCTCATTTATTGATGCCAACTGCAAAACTGTGAGAGATGGTGTTTTCAGTCAATTCCTTTTCACAGTACTGCATGTGGGAGAGAGACTGCAGTTTTGTGTAAATAATCTTTCGTTTTCACGTTTGGAGCCATTCTGTTGTATTACCATATAATATACTCCTTGCATTCAGAATATAAAAAAAATAATATAGATACATTCATGTTAATCAAATTTGCCCAACATGTTTTGAACCATCTTTAGTTTTTCAGGGGCCATCCATACTATGTAATGTGTTATAATTGGCATGGAAATGTATAGTCAAAATTATGATACTTGCTGTCATACAATATATACACCTTATTTCTTAGAAACGTTTAAAAAGTTGTGTTAAAAGTCGTATTTTAGGAAAGTTAAAAATTGTTAAAATTAAAGGAATAACTTGAATTAATAAAATAAAGTTGTACATCATTGAACTGCATGGTTGAGCAGGTAGCACTCTGCTTCATACTTTGCAGTTGCAGATTCAAATATCAACTCCAACTGCCCTGACTGAGTTTTTTTTGTTTTACTCAGTCCCTCCAGGCAAATGTACTACTTCCAACATGCCATTGCTCACTTCCTTCTGTATCTTTTGTGCTTCTTAATTCACCAGTCAGGCTTCCATTTAGTGCTATGTAGTCAGAGATACTGACAGTAGTAATAAATTAACTGTAAATTAATGAAATAGAAGCTGTAGATTGTAATAACTTTTACAATTATTTGTTACCTGAAAGTTGATACATGATGAGCAGTGTCCAACAAACTGAAGTTTGATTTGTGTTTCATGTAAATAAACTAAAATTAAATTTGGTTTGTGACATATGTTGTAGAACCCCAGCATCAGATTTCATTGAAATCTGTTGTGTGGTTTTACTGTTGAAATATGTGAATGGACAGTGGATATGCAGTTATGACTTATGCACATAAATAATACTGGGCTACTCAGTACATCATTTGGAGTTTCCTTCCTGGAAAGTGCAAATTGAAGACTACTACTTGTTGTCTCTGAAGATATTTCACTTTGTCACTAGGTGACCAAAAAGTGGCACCTGTAATAATAAAATTACATAATGCAGAACCTGCTGCTTTTAGTGACATCATTTTATATGTGTTTCCTTCTTTTGCTGCCTTTTACTGCTAGCAGTATGTTTTTTAATCATATTTTTTTATCTTTAGCGACAGTGCTTGAATGGAAAGAAGGAACCAGAAATTCTCGTGGAAACAGAATTGTCATCCATTGAAGGGATGGCTCTGGATTGGGTGTCCAATGTGTTGTACTTTGTTGATGGCATGCGAGCTAAAATAGAAATTATTCGTACAGACATAGATCATGAGGGTCGCATGCGTAGGACTATACTTGGTCCTGACAAGCTGATGAAACCTCGTGGCATTGCTGTTCATCCAGTGAAAGGGTAAGATGTTGGAAAAGTGTTTTTCCTTTTTTTTTTAATGTTGAAAAGGTATCTGTGCTTTAATTGAGAGAGTTTCAAGCCATTTATCAAAAAGGGAAGTGGTGAAGGTCAAGGAACCATACTTGTTATTAGTGAAGAACACCAGCTCATAGACTTGAGAAGTCTGTGTTTATACATGAAATGTACATTTAGTGGTGTTTAAAGGAATCTGATTGAAAGCAAGAAGAACGGTAAGAAAATATCTTTACCACAAATTGAATGCTGCTATTTTGCATTAATGTCCCTATAAATAAAAGTCAGTAAGAAATTTGCTCATGAATGTATTCCTGTGAACATTGCTGACATTTGCCTGTGATTGCTGACCAGTTGAGATAGCTTCACAGAATTTTCATCAACAGAAATCTTGAAACTCTATTATTTGTGTACATCTTGTATAGCCTTTTCACTTTGGGGTATGGTTGAGTCTCCTTGTGTTTCATCAACTGTGGCATGGCTAAGTAACAGTTCAGATTATGTGTGAATTTGAATTTTGGAGGCAGTAGAGGTGTGGTTTGTTGAGTTTGTTACAAGCGTTTCCATTGGCTCTGGCTGTGGATAACGACTTGCCTTTTCATTTGCTCTCCATTTGCAACTGAAATACCTGAATTTCCAAGTAATCTGTCCTTTATCACCCATATCATATAATATAGTGCCATTAGCTATTTTTATGCATGTGCATGGAAGGAAGGATATTTACTGTGTAAAGAAAACTTTACTTTCTGTCTCCTGTTAACATTTAGTGGCTGGAAGATGTGCTTCTTACTCATGAAACGTCAAAGTGAGCTAGAATCATTCATGATAAAATAATACAATCCTTCAACTGGTGAATGAGTACTGCTCATTTCTGCAAGATATGTAAATCATGAATGAGTACTTTTCATTCCTTGCTTTCTGCTCGTCATCATTGGCATTGGATGTTAAAAATATCCACCTGAAGGACATGCGTAACTTTGTAATGGGTTCCCTCGCTCTTGCAGTATGTATTTAGGCCAGGTAGATAAAAAGGAAAACAACTGGAGACCTTGAAAAACATATTTTGTACATGGTCAATTGAACTCTTAGTAGGAATTAGTATGTGATCTCCTGTTATTGGGTAAAGATCAGTATGATTGACATTCATGTACGCTGATGTTATTTTATTTCTATGATTATTATGTATAGGTACATGTTTTGGACTGACTGGGCACCAGGGGACCCTAGTGTGAATAGGGCAGAACTAGACGGTAGTAATGTTAAACGTCTGTTCAAGAAACCTGTTGTGGAATGGCCGAATGGTGTGACTATTGATCACATTGCAGAGAGAATCTACTGGGTTGATGCACGTGAAGATTACATTGCTTCTGCCAACTTGGATGGACATAGATTTAATAAAATAATTGCTAATAATGTGAGTATTTGTAGTTCATATATTACACATATATCATATTTTGATTCTGTATATTAACAATATATTGTACACATAGTTGTAAAGTATAACACTTGTAAAAATAGTATTCTTTTGGAATTGCCACATTATTTTGCAAATCACCATGGAGAAACGCATGCATGCGCACACTCCCTCCCTCCCTCCCCCCCTCTTTTACCTGACACATTTTATAAAATTTCTTTCACACTATTCAGTTTTCTTTTTTCATATTTTCTCCTACCCCAAGTTCAAAAAATCAACATTCCTCTGAGGATATCTTTCTTGATGATGATGTTTGTTCCTTTAAATTTTGTGTATTCCATTAATTTTCTGTTCTTATTATTTTTCATTGTACCAGGTGTATTAGAAAGTTCCTGAACTAGGTCAAAAAAGAAGTGCTGGCTTAACTTACTCAATTTTGGCTGCCTTGAAATGCGAATGCCATTCAGAAACCCTCTCCTGCTTAAATAAAGTTCTCCAAAAACCTCACGAAGCATTTCAGTAGTGGAATTATTGAGCTTCACGTACAACTTTATGCAGACATGTTGCTCAATTTTGCCATTCATTGCAGACAAACTGAAACATAAACTTGAAAAAGCACTCTTGTAAAAATAGTGCATGTTCACAGCATGGTGTCATGTGGCAGACTGATGCAATAGGCTTTCAGAAGTGTGACCTTGGCCTCCTCTTTCTTTTTCTTTCACTGAGGCAGTTACAACAACAACAATCCGGGAACTTTCCGATACCACCTTGTATGTATTTAACAGAAGTGATTTTTTTTCATTCGTACATCTTGAGGTCCTCTGATTATATTGTAACGTGTTTACGTTACCGAAGACGCCGTAGAGATGGTTNTTACAATATACTTATTAAGTATGCATATTTCCCTCACTGTATGACACGTTAATTTATGAGTGGTGTATTATGTATGGGGGTTGATTTACATATGAGTTAGATTGCAAAGGATATCCGGAAAGTAAAGATACAAAGCCCAGGAAATATTTGGAAAAGCTTTTTTTTTTATGGATTTCCTTGTGGCACTTTTACAACACACCTTTATTTACTTTTCAGCATAGTCACCATGGATCACAAAGCACTTAGTGAGCCTGGGAACGAGTTTTTTTTTTATTTCAGCATCGTGGAAATCTCCTGCCTGCCCTCTTAGCCATGGAGAACAGTTTTTGACACTTCTGGACATTGTTGATGAAGTTCATCCATGGTTAAATGTCTGTCAGCACGAATGTCTTCATCAATTTTTTTTGATGATTTCATCAGTGACAATGGATGGCCTTCCACTCCATAATTTCATCCTGGACATCACTTGAAGAAAGCAGTCTTCTGGGATTTGGCACCGTGTATATGTGGTGTTAACCNGTTCATAACATCTTCACAGTGAAGAGAAACAAGTTGGCAATGAATATCAGTAGCAGTTTCTCCTTTCATGTGAAGATATCAAATTACTGCAAGAACCTCACATTTGGCAGAATTTTGAATCTTCATGGCCATTTTAAATATGCACTGCAAGCACAGCGTTTCTGTGATTGTGGCTGGTGAACTCAGCCCTGTCATATGGTTCCTATCTCACACAGCAGCACTGCCATATCTGGAAAAAAAAATCCCTAGCATTTTTACTGGACTTGTATCTTTACTTTCCGGATATCCCTCGTAGATATATACTGATACATTGCAATGGAAAAGTGATATGGAAAATACCCTGAAGTTTGTTTTGATGATATTCACAGTATTTGTTTCTATGTTGTAGAAGACTAGGAAACATAGCCAAGCAATGAAATATATCCATATAAATTATATGCTTCTTTAAGTTTAGATTAAGGAGGAAGCAAATTTTTTTCTTTTTTGGGCATGTTCAGGAATATGTGGCACACCCATTTGCTGTGGCAGTTTTCAAGGACAATCTCTACTGGGATGACTGGAAACAAAATTCAGTGTTTTCAGCAGACAAGGATCATGGAGTAGGGATTGTTAGACTTCAAAGTGGGCTGCAGGGACTCATGGACTTGAAGGTAGGTAAACGTTTAAAAACCTACTACTAAATTGTTACAAGTTCATTAGTTACTCAACAGTCTGAGGCAACAGACCGTCATTTTTGGATAGAGCTGTTTGCTTTTATAGGACACTTCTTGACTGAAAAGTAACCCAAGTATATTTTTATAAACAGTTTTTCTTCTGCATTTAATTTTGTAAGGTGATCAGAAAGAATAGGCTAGAATGCTATAAATGCAAAGTTGTAGGTGATTTTTTTTGGCTGCCTGTCTTGGAAAACTGGTAGTCCCCACATGGAGAATCCTGGCAGAAGTATTGATTCAGAATTAAAAACAGTAGATCACGTGAATGGTGATCTGATGTAGTGACCTAAGTAAAAATAAAGATTATAAGTAAAAGAAGTTCAACTTCTGCAAGTGAGATTATTAATGATACTTGAAAAATTAAATAATGAATGATCATACAACACCGTGAGGTTGGCATTAACTTGTGGGATTTGTCGATACTCCAGTAGACAACCACTTTGGGATGTTTGTGGGCCCTGAAAAGGGCCGTTCGTTCCTTGATAGTAGGCCTGTTTGAAAGACCGGTGATGTAGGGATGTGTGCGCCGATAGAAATAGATGTTGGTTACGGTGTGTTGACTAATGTTGCGGCAGCTGAGTTAGTTGTCTGGCCGCAGTGCGGCAGTTGCTGGAAGACGTCTGGTTGCAGAGCACGGTCGCTGGAGTAGCGGCAGCTGCACCAGTTGCCCAATGAGTCGGGCATGACTGCTAGAGAGCCGAGGCAGCCAGTTGCCCAGTGAGTCAGGCATAACTGCCAGAGAGGCGAGGCAGCCATCCCTGACACAGTGAAGTGCTGATGACTCCGAAGACCGATTGCTCTGGTCTAGGTGTGATGGCTGATTGGCTGATGTGGTCACTGACGATTGCTGGGTTGGAGCTGCGCCTTTTATACCATGCTCGATGGAGGAAGCGAAATTTGCAGTTGTGATTGTGAGCGCTGATTGGTTAGCACGTGTAATGATCTGAATGTAGATTATACAGCGAGTGCTGTATAAATGCAAGCGTTGGAAGCAATGTGATTGGTTAGCGCGCGTGATGGTGAAAAGTGAGCTGAACAGCAGGTGCTGTATAAGTATGAGAGCTGACAGCAATGTGCTATTGACATAGGAGTGAGTGTTGTCCGTTGATCGGTGAAACAGCGAAACAGCATGATAGTATGTGGGATATTCCCACAAACTGTTGAAGGCTTTAAGACATCCATTCTACCCCATATATTTCTGCTGTAATATTCACTTTGGGATCTGTCTTGTAAGTAGGAAGATATTATAGCCTGGGATGTATAGATTTCTGTGTGATATATCATGCTGAGACTTTGTTTTCATAGGTATTTGCTCATGGTATCCAAGAAGGGACAAATGCTTGTAACAACCAGTCCAAGACTGTGTGTTCCCACCTGTGCCTAGGAAAGCCTCATGGCCAGCATGTTTGCCTGTGTCCTGATGGGATGGAGTTAAGCGAGACTGGGGAGTGCATGTGTCCAGGAAGGCAGCTTCCTAATAATAATGGAAATTGTCCTAAAGGTGAGGTTTTGTTATGCCTGTCATAGTGATGGGAGGTTGTAAGTTTCTCTGTTCACTGCAATATTTGAGGTTCTTGGTTCTTACGGCTGTGACTGAAGATCCTGCCATTTGAAATATGATGCTGTAAGCTAGTAGATGTTTTGGAGGAAAGTTCTGTCTCCTCTTCAGGATGAACGAGTAAGGCAAGCATTGAGGGCATAGGGAGAGGGCAGCTGGGATAGAGAACCAGAGTGAGTCAATAAGAGTAAGGAGAAGGTTGAAAGAAATTGTGACCTTTGTAAAATGCATTGTTTAATCTCTTAAAGGTTGACTTATTATTCAGAACAGCGGCCTCCGTAGTCTAGGGGTAACGCTCCCACCTCATGACTCAAGGTACGTGGGTTCAAACCCGGCAGAGGTCGTCGAATTTTTAAGGGCGGAAAAATTCAGGGAACAAGTCCTCCGGGAGGAACTTTAAGCCGTGGGTCCCGTGACGTAGATTTACGGCATGTAAAAGATCCTTATGTCTCTAGGAGACCTCTGAGCTAAATTAGGTAACAAGTTTTCTGCCCAAGTAGTTTCCAGTTCCTCTGGTAGATGGGGGAAATATCAGGTACCAAGGGCCGATCTCATTGGCTCAACGGGGCTGATAGCACACACCAGTACCGGTAAAGTATGGGGACAGTAGAAATTAAAGGGGGACGCACAGTGGACCAATAACTGGTCTAAGTGCATGGGAAACCCACCCCTTCTAATAATAATAATAATAATATTCAGAATGTTAATCTGAAAGGGATGCTTGCAGTATGCTGTTCCTAAGAAAATGCTGTAGCATACATGACATCTAATAATGATCTTTAGTTTTTTGGTTATCTTTGAACCTGAGAGCTTTTTGTGGGAGTTTTGCACCCTACCCATGTATCAGTAGAACAGAGAAATATTTTTGTGTGTGTGTATGTGCCATGGGAAGGTGAGTTCATGTATTGCAGACCCAAGAGAATCTGACTTAAGTTCATGTTCAAAATGGGGCTATATTCTTAATTAGTTAATAATATATAAGAAACATATTGAAGGAAACAACAGTGAAGGCAAAATGAAATATTTTTTGAAGCAATGGAAAGTGTAAATAGTGATGTCTGATTAATAAATGCTAATTGTAAGCAGAACAGTAACATGAAAATGAGTTTTAATCTTTAAATGTGTTGTGGATTTTAACCACAGTTAAATACAAGCTTTGGCATCTGCAAATTATACAGCAGGATGGGAAAATGACTTTTCAGTAAGTTGAAACAGTGAAAATTGATTATAATCAAGGAAGGGTGTTTTTAAGGCATGTACAAGCATGCCCTTTTCGGTTCAAGACAATTAAAGAAATTCTGAGAATCAAGTTGAGAATTTGGAAAAATTTTGAGAATGAAGACTAGAATGAGAATATTCTATATTAGACAAAATTCTTTTATTGTGCTCACCATTTGTAGAAATACCCACATTTTCACAATGCACCCTAGTGTGCTGTGTATCCCTTTTGATATTAGATCTGTTTTCAGTACACCATTTTCTTAAAATATTGTATTCTAAAAAATTGAATTGTTATGCTGTGTCCTTTTTCACAGTGGGCAGAAAGAGCGAGTGGGAGGGAGAGATTTTGCTGACAAGTTGATTTGTGCCAACATTTCCAGATGTCCTGATTATTATAAATTTGGTTGTTTGCCAGCTACTGCACTAAGCAAAAGCTGTTGTATGAACTGAAATTTGAGACTGAGAAATCTATGTGTTGAAATTTTTTCTCAGTTCTCACTCACTCATGGAGCTGAGCCCTTCTTGAGAAGCTGCCAATTGTGCAGTTACTCAAGAATTTCCCAGCAGTTTATGGAACCAGGAGGTTCATTACCATGTTCACAAGAGCCCTCCACTGGTCCCTATCCTGAGCCAGATCAATCCAATCCATCCCATCCTATCTAAGATCCATTTTAATATTGTCCACCCACCTGCGCCTTGGTCTTCCCAGTGTCTTTTCCCATCTGGCTTGCCCTTCAATATCCTATATGCATTCTTTGCCCCTATTCATGCTACATACCCTGACCACCTCATCCTCATTGACTATCAATCTAATTATACTTGGAAAAGAGTACAAGTTATGAAGCTCCTTGTTTTTCTCAGTTCTACCTCAGAAATTCAGCTTTTATGTTTTTTTTTAAATCAGGAATGCCAGTATATGTTTTTTATGTAGCTGAATTGTGTTGGCTTTTCTTGCTCTCAACACAGCCCATGTCTTACTAAGTCTTATGTCCCCTTCTGGTTATTTTATCCATTTCAGCAAATAGCACCTGTTCATCAGATTTCTTCACCTGTGGTAATGGGTTGTGTATCCCAAAGTTGTGGAATTGTGATGGGGAGAATGACTGTGCAGATGGATCGGATGAAGTGGGATGTAGGCACACGACTTGTGAGGCCAACATGTTTACATGCAAGGATGGGAAGTGCATCCCACTTTATTGGGTTTGTGACTTTGATCGTGATTGCCCTGATGGGAGTGATGAAGGTGGATGCAGTGAGTATGATAGTGTCACGTGTTAGTGAGTAGGCATGCTCTTTGGATTGATAATTGAATTTATTGGACCTTATAACTCTTAACTACAAGTGATTACAACAGTGTTACTAATTTACACACCCCTTAAATCACCACAACTACAGCACAGACAAAGTTGTTTGTTAGGTATTCTGTCACTAGCTGTTACAAGATAATGGCTGCTAATAATGGGCATTCCTCATGGCCAACCATTAGCTGCCACTGCTCACTTGCAACTCAAAACTATTAACCGCCAACAGACTTTATTTTTCCAGTTATTGCATGCTATAAAGCCTTGATGTGAACCACACAGAAAAAACTGCTTTTGGCAATTCCTCTGTTGTTGCATGTTGATATTTTGCTGAGGAAATATGTTTACCATGTTGTTGCTTAGCAGTGGCTGCTGCTGCTTGTTCCACTGTTCTGGCTTTCAGCTGTTGTGTTACAATAGATCAACTATTTTTGTGGCCATGAACATTTATCTTGAAATGATAAGTGTTTACCCTGCTCTTACAGCTTGTGAGACTTCAGTCAGAAAATGTCTTAGCTGAATATATACTCCCTTATCACAAGTGGGCTTTTTTAAAAGGGGGAAGGGGAAGCCTATGTTTGTGTATGCACATATAAGCCTGTTATACAGCACACACAATAATTCAACTTTGCAATGATCCACCTTGAAAATTTATGCTACAGAAGCCAGCATTGTTGTCAGTCACAGTGATCAGCATTTGCAACAGTTTTGAAATCAGCCAGTGGTATATGTTCTTGCCATATAAGATGCCTCCATTTTGAAGTTCATCAGATTTTAAAATGAGACACGTCTCTCATTTATTGTAATTTTTTAATATGTGTGTGTGTGTGTGTGAGAGGGGGGGAGAGGGGGTAGGTTTCACAGGAATATATCTTCAGGGTAGAAGAGAAAGCCAAACAAGAAACCAACAGAGTGGGTTGGCAGTCTCAGCGTGCAACAAAAGAAGACCAGCTTTTAATGCCTTTAAAATTACACTTCACAGATTTAAACACAATTTTAGTGCATAATCCACATTACATATGGAGCCTAACTAGGTTTGATTAATTGTGTGGATGAGTGTGCCGATAGTTTTGGTTTGAGTACCAATGAAAGAAGTTTTGAATGCACAGTGCACACATCCTTTGAACTTTCTTCTGTGGATCAGACTTAGCTGTACAGAAGAAACATAATTCTAAATTCAAAGGCATGGGGGATTTGATTTTTATATTCAGCACATGCACATAGCTCTTTAAACCAGTTACATGGTCAGATTTGGTAGTTAATACAATTGGGACTGGTGTGTGTAGTATGGTTACAGGTAAGTACCAATGAAGCATAATCCCTAGGAGGATAGCTGTCATATCCTCATACAGAAGTCTGCATGTTTGAAATAATCAGATTAAATTTATTTCTTAAGCTAAAATGTAAAACTATTTCTGTAACAGGCTGTGGAGGCCCATATAGTTGTTAGGCATTGAGGCTCCCAAGCTTTCTAGACAGTCAGCCTACAGATGGCAGTGAGGTTGTTAGGCTGACCTTTACCCCCAGGAAGATTCCTGGCACTCATTTCTTTTAGGGGCTGAGTGAACCTCAGGGCCATAATGCAACTGGAAGGATTAGATCAATTGAAAAATCCAGCGTCCTCATCGGAAATTGAATTTGTGACCTTCATTCTCTTATTTTTTTTGTGTTCATGTGGTAGAGCTTCCTTTGGTTTTTAGTCTTTGCAGGTGCATGGTTTTAGGCCATCATTTTGGTTGATAATGATATAGGAGGGGAGATTCAATGCTAGGCAGAAAAATTACATAGTAACAAAAACTGTTGTCTTGTCAGAAGTAACAAGAGAAGAATTTGTATGACATAGAAGTCATGTACAATATGTAACTGAAGGTGTTATTTGTTGCAGTACGCCTGAATTGCACTTCTGAAGAGTTTCGTTGTGATAATGGGCGATGTATATCATTACGTTGGCGTTGTGATGGTGAGGATGACTGCAAAGATAGATCTGACGAAAGCAATTGTTCAAGCCCAAAACCTCCGGCTGCTTGCAAATGTAAGTAACAGGTCTTAAACACTAAACTCACATATTCTCGCAGAAACTGTCATGACTGACCTTTATTATGCAAAAATGAGTACCTGTTAAATTTAATTTTATCTGGTATTAGAGTCAATTTTACTGACCACACAATGTATTTTTATTATTATTACACTACATGTTTCGACCTCAAGAGGTCATCTTCAGGTGTACGAACACAGCTGTACAATTACACGCAATGACATTCGCCTTTTCACTTATTCGATCCTGTATCCTATTCAGGTCCACGCTCAATAATACATCAAGCTCCTCCCACAAAACACAAGTCAAAATATTATTCCAAATGTCAAAAGTTAAAATTTAAAATTTAAAATTTGCGAATTGAATTTCAATTCAGATCACTAGTTATGCTTTCACTTTCACTTGTTATTCAGTCACTTCCTATTTACGCTCATCACTGCGTCAAGTTCACTTTAACTAGTTTTAATTATATTATTGGTTAAAAAGTTCATGAATTAAAGTTCAATTTTATCATATTGATTGCACTTTTCACTTTTTGGAGGTCTCACTATTTTTCCGCGTCCTCTGATGTTGGTGGATCTGTTATGGTCCTTGTCATGATGGCTACTGTTATCCATCTGTTATCCATGGCTGTTTTTCCGCGTCCTCTGATGTTGCTGGATCTGTTACGGTCCTTGTCATGATGGCTACTGTTATCCATGAATATGATGCATTAGGCATGCTGTTATCATATGCTGGTCTGTTCTAAATATTCTGGCACATTTCCCATGATCACCAATGAAATAATTAAAAATATATGTGATACAGTCAAAGTAATTGCACATAAACATGAATAAAATTGTGTCTAGAAAGGCAGGTGTTTCAAAATTTTGTACACAGGTAAATGGATTCCTTTTTAAAAATCCAGTTTTTATTTGAAGTTAGCAGCTTAAAAACCATACTAAGTACAAATTTTGTTATGTAACCTTGCAGAGTTTTACACTGAGATCTAAAAATGCTTTGGCTGTGACTAAACACAAGTGAATTTAAATTCTGTATTCCAAGGGTTAATATTTAAACTCCTGATAGTCCAGTGATTTTTTATCTCACTTGATAATTGTCCATTGATTTTTGATGTGTGTTGATATTGGATCCAAGATGCTCAGTAAAGACTGTGATCAGTTTGGTTATGAAATGAATTATACAGTAAATGTTCACTTTCATAAAGCATAGTTACCATTCTATTTCCTGTATAAACATATGAGAATGCACTGAAACAGCATGAAATTAAATGTTACAGAAGTTAAACTTTAACAAATACAGCTCCTTTGATGCACAGTTGTAATCAACTTAATGAAGAACATTAGCCACATGGGAAATATCACTACAAAACCTTTTCATTGTGGTGAAAGTGAAGTTCATTGAGGTGATGTTCATAGCTTTTTCTGTAAAAAGTTTACATTGAATAACATTTTCAATTTGAATGAGTGACTGTTGATGAAGAGGTTCTTAAAAAATTGTGTTGATGTCTAAAATGGCAGCTCTGATCAATGTGTTTCAGAAGTATTTGTGTGTTTAAGTTTATTAATATGGTGTGATATCAAAATTGAATTTAAGTCTGCAGATAGAATGAGAAGATTTTTTTTAGAGCTCAGACTTTTGGTTGAATGTCTAGTTTGCTCATCCTTGAATAAAATTTGATATGACTAATACAAAAAAAAAAAACTCCATGCTTTCAGTCCGCAAGTGAACTATAATGACCAAGCAACTGCCGCTTGTTGGCGAAATTAATGCCAACTTCAGCAGATAGAGGGTGTTGCGTGGTCAGTGCAACAAATCCCCACAGCCTTTAATTTCGGTTTTCTAAACCGGAGCCACTATTTCCTTGAAATAGCTCCTCAGTTATCCTCATGAGACTGAGTGGACCCCGTACCAGACCCACTAAGAAAATTTTGTCTGTTCACATCTGCATATTGTGCCATGTCCCCTGAAAGCCAGAGTAGTTTATTCAGAAAAGACGTTTGTTACTAGGCAGTGGCACATATGGTGATGCAGCAGTTGGAACACATCACACTGCACAAAGTAACCAGTGGAAGTACTGCTAGGAATGGTGTTTTCTATGTGATCCACAGCAATAGCTACTTCATACAACAATAGAGAGATTGTGGGAACTGATGTTCTCTGTGGGTCTGTCAGTGGATATATCTGGAGAATGAAACACAGCTGAGTCAGTTATAGGACAAGGTGAAGCCAGCCATAGAAAATATAAGAGGCTTAAACTTGGCAGTGGTCAAGCTTACGACCGTGCAGATGACTTAAGTTTTCATTGTAACATAAGATATGTAAATTAGGCATGATCTGCTCTGTAAAGCCTGTACTGACAGAGAACTTGTGTGTAGTGCAAAAGGAAGAATTTTCGATAACATGTTATATGTGCAAAATATACGCTTGACGAAAGGTCAGGTGTATTCATAAGAGACAAACCCACTTTCTCGTCAGAGGGGATGTTACATAAGGACTTACCGCAAGAGTTCAGTTGGAAAAATATCTCTGGTCATGGGCCTCAAGGGGCCTGATGCCAAGATGAACTGATTGGCGGTAAACCGCCATTCGTAAAGTAACTCTGACTCTGAGTCAGTCAGGAGTAGTGAGTCTGCAGTTAGCAGTTGGGAGACAGACTCTTCAGAGGTTGTTGCAGACGGTTGTCCCTGGTGGAGGTGTGGGAGGTGGAAGACCTTACTATTGTAAGTTGTGAGATAGATGCCAGCCAACAACGACAGAAGCCATTGAACACTGAAGCTGAGCATGCCACCACATTGGAAGCCTTTACCAGACAACCGGTGAAGACTCAGCAGGCTGAGAAGCTTTAGTGCGTATTGTGATGTGTGAAACTGTTACAGTTACTTATAGTCACGATTTGTAAGAGTCCAGTAAATCCAGTTATCAGTCCAAAACAAGTCTGTTGTCACTTATCATGTGACATTATTATGGGGAAGTACTGAAATCTTTGGTACATTTATAATGTTTGTCTCAGTCATTTCCACATCAATCAGTCATATAACAGTGTTGCCAGCTTTAAGTAGTGAAAGACATAGATAAAATTATCCCCTTGCTTTAACAACTTTGTGAAGGTTTATAAGGGCCAGTTGTATCTAGGCATTGGCACTGAGAGAGCTTCATGATATGGCCACTTTGCGTTGAGGAAATACAACCCAGTACTAAATTGATATAAGCCAGGGTGGATTCCAGACTTGGTGGTGAAGAGAATCTCTTGGTTTCCTCTGATGATTATTCAGTTTGCAGCCAGTCTCTTACTGATTGAGCTATCCCAAATTACTGTGCAGTAGGCACATTTTAAATTGAAAGGTTTGGAGTACTTTTTCAGAATGTGACTACCCTTTTAATTTTTTTATTAGTCTCTATGGCACTTGCACATTTGGTTTACGGAATGTATATGATTTGCATGTGTACACCAACATGTGAGAAGTGAAACATGCTGTGTGATGTACATTTGCATTTAAATGGTTTATTGCTTGTATTTAATTATGCATGCAAAAGATTTATACTTGCATTTTTTTTTTTACAGCGGGAGAGTTCCAGTGCAGCTCTACCAAGCAGTGCATACCAAATTCTTGGCGCTGTGATGGTGAACATGATTGTTCTGACTCATCTGATGAAAAGAACTGTAAGAACAAGACTTGTGAACCATGGCAATTTCAGGTGAAAGAGCTTTATTGTTTAAAGATTGACAAGAAAGAAGTTGAAGACATATGTCAAAAATCATATTTATTCAACTATAAAGTGACCTCCCATTCCTAGAGTAAAATATTAAATTCAGCAAATTTACTTAGATAGAATTCTTTGGTACTGTTTTTCTTCTGAAATGTAACTTTCTTTCACTTATATATATTTAATATTTTTAATAAGATTATGATCGACTTGGTTGTGATGCTGTGTGTTTTGGCAGATAGCTTCCAGCAATTTGGACTAACCTGCTTCCTCCAAGGAACACAGTGGCCAAAAATGATATGTGATATAAGGGTGGGGGAGTTTGGATTGGAGCCACTGGGAACCAATGCCCAGGAAAGTTCTGTTCTCTCAAATGAAGAAGAAGGGAAGTGTAATGGGAATGAAGGGGAGAAATGGGAATCAGCATGTAGCAGAGCTTTTTGTGGAGCAATGTAATGCTCATCTAAGGGATGCATCTTGCTTAAAGCAACAGAAGTTTTCCTTCCAGCAAACTGTACAAGCTGTATCCAACTGCTAGACTTGGGCATTACGATCCTTTGAAAACCTTAATTTTACACATGTTTTAGGAAATATTTTTTCAAGGCACAAAATAGAAGTTTCGCTATAGAAGATGATAAATAGCAATGGTGGCAAAAAATGTCTTGTTTCTGGTCTTCAGTGTAAGAATGAGCGTTGCATATACAGTTCATGGAGATGTGACGGAGACAATGACTGTCATGATCGCCCTGGACAAATTGGTTCAGATGAGGAGAACTGTACATCCATTGTACGACCAACACTGCCGACTCCAACTGTAATATGGCCAAATGTGAGTTTTGGAGAGTATTCACATGTGCATTCTTACTAAAGTAAATTTAATTTGTTTTTAAATATATTATTTTAAATTATCTTAACACTTTGTGAACAGGAATTTTAATATTCAATGCCATGGTTCCAGAACACGTGTCACACATGGATGTTCCATTGTAACAACAAACAGTGTGTACCCTTCTGGTGGAAGTGCGATGGTGTCAATGACTGTGGTGATGGTTCAGATGAGCTAGGCTGTGGGAAGGACAGTGAGCCAAACAGTAGTACATCCAGTTCAGTGCCTACTACTCCAGGGACGTGCAGTGAGAATCATTTCTGGTGTTATAATGGTCAGTTAACATTTGCCATAAAATTATTGCTGTTAACAGTTATCAAGATAAGTTTGGATTGAATTAAAGAGAGCTCATAATTAGTAGTGGTAATAGAGGGGATTGGATAAATCTGGCTCAGGATATGGACCAGTGGAGGGCTCTTGTGAACATGGTGATGAACCTTCGGGTTCCATAAAATGCTGGGAAATTCTTGAGTAGCTTTAGAATTGGCGGCTCCTCAAGAAGGGCTCAGCTCCATGAGTACGTAAGTAATAGAGGGGAGAAGTAGTGTAGATTATTAAAAGCAATGGATAATACAAAAATCTTGAAGTACAACTATCCATACTGCAGCCCTCAAAATTATGTAATTAAACAGTAAATCACATATCTTTCAAATAAAAGAATGATGTCCTCATTCACTAGTCTGGCACAAATGGCAAAGTAGTAATAGAAAGAAAATTGTGTCAAGGTGCGAAGGTGTTGTAATATGGCGCTGAACAGAAGTAATGGTTTGAACACTTTATTATTGTGAATCTGGAAAGGACAACACAGTGATTGGTATCCTAGAACTTCGTGCTGAAACTGTATATTATATAATGAGAAATGCTGAAAAGCATACCTCACACCGGCATTCTGTGTGCTCCCAATGGCAGTGTAGGTGAAAAGTAGCTTGAGACCCTTGAAAGACCAAAAATGCAGATCACCTTTTGTTTAACCAACTCAGATACACTGTATTAATGTCAGACAAGAAGCTCAGGAAAAATACAATGCCTAGTTTTGTTTCGTTTCTTTGAGAGCTGGCTACTATCCTCACTTACTCATTATCAGACTATCTTGACAAAATGTATATTACAATAATTTTTTTATTTTTAATTTTTGTCTGTTTATTTATTTATTTTGTATCTAAGCAGCGTTTATCTTTACATTTGTGAGGTATTTGGTTTTAGGTGTAGTTTTCTTATTGTCTTCAGGAGAATACTTAAATTCTCCTCTGCATGACACATCAACTTTCTTGGAACATTCGTGACCTCAACACTGGCTCTACCTTTCTCCATATGTTCCTTTCCCATATCTTTTTCAGAATATGGCAGTCCCTCACCAACCATAGTTTTTAAGTGTTCATGGTTTTTCATTTCTGTACAAGCAGAAAAGGCAATGGCTTCTGCAGTAAGACATCCATATTTGCTGAGAGCAGTTTTTTTCTGCCTTCAGTATTACTGTAACAGCCATACTTTTTGTGCTTAGTGAAGGACCAGGCAGTTTAGCTAAGCTTTGGTAAGTATTAGCAGTGGACATATTTCTTCCCATTCCCAGTTTGCCAGAAGGCCTCGATCTTGCCAGCAATGGCCAGTCACAGTGCTTTTCAGGAACCTGATCCATCTGTGGGATTTGAGGTTCTCATAGCATATAGCCATATCTTTTGGGATATAACACCATGTAGTCCATTGAAAGTCAACCAACATTTTGGAGGGGCATATTGTCTCCATTTTCAAAGCCACCTTTCATGCTGATACTGTGCTCAGCTTATTCTTAAACCCTGAAGATGGAGGTGATATGTTCCTCCAAAATGTCGGTTGACTTTCAGTGAACTACATGACAGTATATCCCAGAAGACAATACTCTTCTAATCCCCATAGTTGTTGAAGGATTTATGAACTGAAATACTCGTATTATCATTTCCATAATGCACAGCCTCTTGGCCTTGCCATGAAACCATTCTGTCTATGATGGTGGTAGGATTTAACCTACTGGTTTGAATGTACAGAAGATTATCATTCCTCAGTTTGAAATTTTCATTATTTTTACAATGTTCGGTGGCCTTATCTCTCAGAGGAACACAAGCAATGTGGCATTGTAATTGTATTCTTAGGGAAATGCATACTGTCATCATGGGTGTGTGATGGAGCCAAAGACTGCAAAGAAGGAGAGGATGAGGAGAACTGTAAGACCACTAGAAGTTGTGGACCTGGTTTGTTTATGTGCCATATCGATGGATCATGTGTGCCCATTTCACAAGCATGTGATGGAATAGCTCAGTGTCCAGATGCCTCTGATGAATTGGCTTGTCATCTGATGCCCAGTAAGTGTAACGTAATTCATGCAGGATGGAAGTTAAGATGAATTTCATGAAGTAAGCAAGCTTAAACTGAAAGCAGTAGAAGGAGCCACCTGTTGCTGGCCAATATATTTTAAGTCTAGGAGTAGTGTTGCTACATTTTGAACAGACGGCTTTTGTGTCAGCCAGCAGTTCCTCAGCAGTAATGTGACAGTTATTCTGTGACTTATTGACCAGAACTTCATAACTTTAACCCTTTCATGTTACAGCATGTATGATAATATTAATTGTACCTATACATTTATTTCATTTGCTTCCCAAAGTTATCTGAGAAGTACCATTCTGTGTGCCTAGTAACCTTCTTTCACAGTCTGTTCATTGCCTTTTGGACATTTAAATTGTCTGTCTTCTTGTATATTAATTATTTAATTCAGGATGGCTTATGGTCTAGTAAAAGATGAGCAAATAGGTGAAGTTTTAGAGGAAAGTGATGTTTGCTGTGTGATTTGTGGAATAACAGTGGGTGACTGTGATTATGTAATACCAAGCCATCCAGAGCGAAGGAAATGAATGATTGAACCAGAGTGATGATTCATAGTGAGGTGTGGGTTCTGAGTATGAGACTAAAGTGCAACAATTTGCTTAAGTAAAGTAGACTTTAATTATGGGTCAGTGAGGCAGAAATTTTGGAATTTCCTCAGCTTTTAGTTAAAAGGTTCTCATATTGAATGAAAAAAAAATCTGGCCAACAGTTCATTCACAGATACTAGATGACAGATAGGCAGAGAGAGGGACATGATTTTGACATATTTGTGCAAGAATCTCGAATGTAAAATTTAGTCAGAAACAGATCAGTAATTCTTGGGTTATGAGGTAACAGCAAAATAGTGCTTTTGTTTTATTGCCTCAAAATCTCTAAGGTTTAAGGAAATTAATTAGGTACAGTAACCAGTAACACATTGTGGTGTCATCATTGTGATCTGTCAATTATTTGAATGGCGAAATACATTTCTTCAATACTGATAGCTAGTTGCAGAGCTTTGTTCTCTTTCCTTTGTAATTAGTTGTTGTTTGACTATCAGATTATTGTTGATTGATTATTTGATTAACCCTTAAGGACTCAGTGCACCGATCCACTGGCATGTCAGATAATGGCTAGAACACTCCGGTGGCTGATATATCAGCTCAGTCTGAGTTACGCTCTTTTAGTTACATAAATGACTCAGAGGTGGCAGCACAAGCCAGTACCTATGGTTTTAGGTACTTTACTGTGAATATAGCATATTTTAGTGGCGGTAATTTGTTTCCATAATAAAGTTATATATTATTTATTATAATTTCATTATATTTTTTGGAGTTTGTAGGACACATAGTTATTTCACATTTTTAACTAGACAGTGGCTGGTCCAAGCTGTAGGTTAGATAACTATGATGTATCAGAGTATTTAGATACAGTTGACAGTGATAGTGACCTTATTCTGGAAAGTGATACTGATGATACAAGTGAAGAAGACGAAGAAGAAGAAGATACCCCACATGCCACACCCCCAGCTGCCCACCCTGTGTCTGACAGTGAGGAGGAGGATGACCTGGATGATGAAGACTACAGGGAAATTCTGTCACCTGAGCAATCTCTTCCACTTCCTTTCGAATTCCAAGAACTGTCTGGATATAAGCATATGTCTCCTCCTGATTCTTCTCCTATTTCTTCCTTCCATCTCCTTTTCACAGACTTGATCCTTACTCTCATGGTGACAGAATCCAACAGATATGTGCAGCAAGTGATTAGCAGTAAAGTGGGTTATGTTCGCACTCTGCTAAAAACCGGATCAGAATTACCATGCACAAGATGAAAGGATTCCTGGCCTGTATTCTAAATATGGGTATCATCAAAAGGTCAACCATAGCATCATTGTGGTCCACTCTATGTTCCCAAGCCACCCCATGGTTTGGCAGTATGCTTATCAAGCATCACTTTTCACAGTTGCTGCACTTCTTCTGCCTTATCAGCAGTGAAGGATTGCCAGGCCCCGGAGAACCAGACTGCAGTCCCTATGCAAGATACCAACCCCTTGTGGACCATGCAAACACAGTATTCAGGCATCACTACACCTCTCACCTATATATCAGTGTCAACAAAAGGCGGGTAGGAACCAGAAACAAAACCAGTCTCATGTGGTATTTGCCCAACAAGCACCACCACTCTTAGGAAATCAAATTTTGGCTGTTGTGCAGTCAACTACTGCCTGGGATTTTTCATGTACAGAGTGGTCCGGTCTCAGGAAGTGAAAGACAGCATCCAAATAAATGGCTTGGAGTGTACCACCATGAAAAAACTGCTTGAGTTTGGAGAGTACCTCAGCAAAGGCTACCATATCTTCGTCAACACCTGTTTCATATCTGTTGCACTTGTCCACCATCTCCATCAGCTAAGCACCTACATCACTGGAACTGTTAGGAGGAACAAGAAACTTTTACCCAAGCAGTTCTGGAACAAATTTGTAGTTGGACAAAAAATGTATTGCAGATCTGGCCCGCTTCTCACATGTATTTTCTGTGAGAAGAAATCACAAAAAATCCTGTTATTCTTCTCTCCAGCCACAACACAGTCCAAGATGAGGAAGTATGGTGAAGACATGGTGGCAATCCACAAATAAGACCAGAAATCATAACATCCTACAACAAGTTTATGGTTGGCATTGACTCTTCTGACATGATGCTATACACTTATTTGGATGAAAGGTGGATGGAACATTATTGAAAAAAAGGTAGCTTTCAACATCATAGCCAGGATGGTGTTCAATAGCCAGAGGAGACCTGGCAAACTGAAATCAAGGTACAGCTACACTGTATCCATAATCAAGAGCTTGGGGAGGAGTGATTGGCATTGAAGGACAGCACTGGAGCATATGATTGTTGGGGACCACAAGGACTCAAAAAACTCCATGGGAAGAAAGAGTCCCAGTGCATTGTCTGCAGCACAAAGGAGAGCAGGCAGAGAGGCAGAACGGCAGAATGGTATGCACCAGATGTAACAAGGGGCTGCATGGAGAATGCTGCCCTAAACACAGCTACTAACTGCAGAAGATACTTGTGCACTATTTTACATAAAGTGATGTAGTTCCAGACCAGAGAGCTCATTATACATAAAACTTGTATAAAAATTTACAGAAAAATATTCACTTTCTTACAGGCTTGGTGACAAGAAAAGAAGACCAAAGAGACTATTTTATTTTTTGCCTAAATTATATAGATTTTAAATTTCAATATTTAAGTCTCAGTTTTTATTTTTTCTAATTATTTGTAATGTTAACACTAGTGGGCTATTTTTGTTTAAATCTGCTGTTTATAGTGAATAAGTGTGACTTTTTTCAAATGTCCTTGACCAAAATTGTATCTTTGGTGCATATTTTTAGTGAGACTTGTAAATTTAGTCAAATTTACCTGAGTGTTTTAGGCGAGGTGCTTGGAAAACAGGCTGAGTGCGAAAGGGTTAAACATATCACCTGGTGTGTGTGTTGCATGCATGCGTGTGTGTGTGTGTGTGTGATAGGGAGGTAATAAAAAGATGATTTTTTTTGCAAAGAATGTGAAATGTGACATTTATCTGGAGGGACTGAGGAAACCACATTGAGTCTGTAAGGATAGCCAGTTGCTACATTGAGTTAATGAACCTGGAATCTGTTGACTACTAAGCAGAAATGCCAACCACTTGACTACGACAATCTCTAAAACAGTATATGAGTCAGAAGCAGTTAGATAATTTAGAATTTGTACTGATAGGTGGCACAAAAACACAGTTTAGGTCAGTCAGAAACAGCAAACCCATCCATGTACTGTAGCTCTATCTTCTCTTTTGCTGCTGATCCACACATAATTTGTTGAACCATTATTATTTTCTGGTAAATCATGTATATATTCATTATTCGAGGCATCTGAGATGAATTGTTTTTCATAATCTTAACAAAAAAGCCAGCTCATAATCATGTATGAACCAATAATCAGTGAACATCTGTCATGATACTAACAGTGAAACTACAAATTTTGAGATGAATCAAATCCAAGTCATTGTCTGAAATATGAGATATTATGTCATCAGTTCACAGATTTAAATCTAACAAGCAAAATAGTACCTTACGCTTAAAAGGGATTGAGTTTGTTTTGCACTGAAATTGAAGACTTCTGGATAATATATGTGGTTAGAATCCTAACCACTGTTTTTCTGTCATTTGTGAGTTCTGATTATGTACTACAATTGTGGTTACAGAAGCAAACTTCAGTATGAAAGGGATTACATAGGGCTTACCATATGGGAGGGTCTCTTGTTCACTTTCCTGTACCTGTGTTACAAATAAAATATAGATTTATACTGCTGAGCTTAATATAACCAAGTTTTTCAGGTGTGAAAAATAATAGTGATTTTTAAACATTGTACATTTTGTAGGTCAATCCCCAATTGGTTGTCCTCCAGCATATTTTCAGTGTGATGTAAATCAGTGCATCCCATTGACTCGAATGTGTGACCAGCACTTGGACTGTTATGATGGATATGATGAAAGCAATTGTAACAACAGCACCACAAAAATTTACCAGGTATAGTAAAAAGAATTGTATTTTAGAGCTTCTCTTGAAGTATTGGTCTGCTCAAAGAGAAAATAAAAATGAAGTGCAACATTGACAGTATTTTTAGTTTCAGTAATGAGTTTAATATTTGAGTAACAGTCAGGTTATGGGAGTAACTGAGGTGAAAAAAATAGTAATTACGTGAAATTTGAGGTTCTTGCAGTAGATATTATAAAAATTACACTTTTGTGATATATGACACTGTAGTTTTGTAAGTGGAATCCACAGCTACATGACATGACATCACAGAAAACCATAATCTCAGTAGTTGTTATGTGTGTTATATTGTGAACATACTAATTCATGTAGGAAGGTAAGGAACGTGAACATTTTCTAAATAACATTAGAGTTGGCACATCCTTCAAGTACTTCAGTTTACCACTTTGTCATCATCACCAGCATGTTCCCTGCAGTAAGATTTCCTGAAACTATTGTAATGTATTTGGATTATATCTTTCTGCCATGCCTTAGGTGGGCAAAAAAAGGTAGTCAGATGATGTGAACTTGGCAGTAAGGCTCGTAACTTGTATTCAGGAAGTGCCCAGTTTAAATCTCAGATAGGACACTGATTATTCACCCTGAGGTTTTTGTGTGTTTTCTGCAGTTTCTCCACAGCAATGTTGTTATAGTGGATTATATGGATAATGTTTTTGCAGTTCAATACTGCCACCATTGCCTCACTATGCTTTCTGAATGCTTTGCTTCTTACGTTTGTTGAAATTTGTATTATACAATTATTATTATTATTATTATTATTATTATAATATTCCTCTTTCAGTAGCTGTGTTTCTGGTGTTGCATGGTTTCCTGAATTGTGTGCAGTCACTTTGCACCATAACAAGACTCTGCACATATTCCAAGAAACCACAGGATACTGGAAAAATAGTGTATCAGTTGAAAAAAGGAACAAGTTTTAACTAAATTTAACAATATTCAGCAATAATATGAACTAGTTTTAACCAGGTTTATAAAAGTGAACTTGAAAAAGCAATGCAGTGCAGCAGTTACATGAAAAGGTTTTTCCGATGGCTATTTTATAATGTTGAAACATGTCATAGAAGTAAAAAATATATACATTATATAAAAGGGCAATATAGCACACCAACAGTCTATGAGCACTAGAAGTTGCATCTTCAAGACCACCCCTGCAAATTAAACTCAGTTGTAATACACTTCCTGATACACATGGGAACAGTAGTTTTCCTTGATCCTTCTGGCTGGAATTTCCAAATTCTTAGTTGAGGTATATGCTTTTCAGGTCAAGATAAAGTTAAAGTAAATGTTAAAAAGGTAAGGTTAAATGTAAAGGCAAAGGTGAAGGTAAAATTGGTCATATGATCGCTTAATTAAGCACAACACCATGAATACATACGACTATTATTTTTCCATTATTTTACTCGTTACCTTTACTTTTTGCCTTGACCATGATTTTCACATGTAGCCCTTTGTTCTTGTTCTTTTATTTCAACAGTATATCTCATTTCTTCAGATGCTCCCTTACATTTCCCCAAATTTATGGAAGCATTGCTTTACAGTGTCTCTGGAGGGCAAAAACTGTGACAGCTAACATAGTCTTCATACTGTCATATGCAGGGGTTTTGTATGACTTATAGACAGGTTTTGGATTGGATGTACTGACACCTTCTGAATTCAGCTCGTAACTACAAGTGATACAGTGCTATCACTGATGTATGCACTTTATAGTTGACCCTTACACATGCACTAGATCCTTGGTCTTCACTAGTTGTATCCTGGCAACAGATTCATAACAGTCTCACTGTAACTGCAGCACACTCTGAAGTCTTCTTTGCACAGCCTAATTCATTTCTTGCCATTATTGTACCAACTGACATCTCCAGAGCTCAACTGAATTCTGTGCTGCAACTGCCAACTCCAGAACTTAACTCAGTTCTCACAATTCTAGCTGTGTGAAATCCTTGTTATATAATCATGGGTGGACCAACAGAAAACACCACTGCCTTTGTTGTGCGGTATCATAGCATATGTAACACATTCTTCTGCTGCGTGTGTGGGGGCCATTACTTAGCAATGGCTTTTTCTCTGCCTCCACAGTTCTTGCTTTGAGCAAATGTGCCACAGTATATATAGTACTTTACCATGGGACTGGAATCTTAATCCATCAGTAAGAACTTGAGAATTTTCCACAATCATCAGTGTTACAGTTCTTTATACTTATCTGATCTATATACAGGTGACTCAGATGGGAGTTGATGACCATGGATCAAATTCATCTACATTGCATTTATACTGGTGGATCCGCAACTTTTCTGAACCACTTGAGTTTCTTCCATCATATGCTGAAGTATTTAATCAAAAGAATGTCAGCTGGACAAATACTACATGGATAGATCGTTATGGGTATCTCTTCTCCAACTTGAAGCCATATACCATGTATAATTTGACTGTATATGTGAGAGTGAAAGGCCAGAAGCAGGTATACCCTCCAGCGAAATATGTGACTGCAACAACTGGTGAGGGAGGTGAGTACTTTGTTAAAGTAATATGTGAGATAACATGATTTTGTGAACTTGTTAAATATATTGCAATTAAGAGCAATGTACTAAGGAGCCAGTGTAAAGGGCAGGCTCATAATGTAAGAATGTCCAGCAAATCCTTTAAAAATGAGATACTGCTCCATAGTGATGGCATTGTGTGTGTTTAGAAGACAGTAAATTCAGAAAATGCATATATGTTTTGTATATGAATCCACACTACCATGAAAACCTTGGATCTGATGTATACATTTTCTGGGTTCTGTTTTCTTGGGCACAATGTTCATCAGAAAACATTGGTGTCCACCCATGAGATTACATGTCATAATGTGGAAGACTGTAATATTAATCAGAAAATGAATTGTTGCCATTTTAATTTTTATTTATTTGTGGTGTATTTAACCCTGTCAGTAGCTCAAGCTATATAGCTTCGAAAAAGACCTTAGTCATGATAACTGGTCTTCAGGCTGAGATTTGGACCCAGAATCTCTTGAATATGAAACAGGAGTGCCAACTGAACCTCCTCTTATTTACAGTCAAACCCCTATTTAAGGTTTCTGTGGGGAGTAGTGGATTTTTACACTGAACTGAGGAAAATATTAAATGGAGGAAATTTAACACTGAGATTATTGTGTTGGGTTTATTGTGATAATGGGATCTGGAAGCAGATCAGCATTCTCATCCTTTTCTGAGTTAGTTTTATGTTGGTAACCCTGCTTGTGCATGTATACATGTCTCTGATCTGTTTGTTCCTGCAGTTTGTTTCAGGTGCAGTATTTTTATCTTTCAGATATTCCCTTTTTGTTCCTTAATTGTCTATTAGTTCCACACCTTATATTGTTCATATTGTCTCCATTCATTGGGCTTACATTCTGCCGCCATTTTAAATTAGTCTTTTCCCCAATGATCTAATGTTCAATCCATGGTTTATACTGCTTTATTGTGTAATCACTTAAACTCTCTTCATCAGTGTGATCTTAGTTTAAAAATTCTCTCTACTACTCTTTCAAGCCCTATTGATGTTCCCATTAGCATCCAAGTTTTCCAATGGAGCAGATTTGCTCAAGATTATAAGTTGATATTGTTGTTTAACTTGATACTGTTCATTAACTTCCACGTCATTTAGCTTCTTGAGATTAAATTTCTCCCCATCAAATTTTATTTTGCTTAGACTTACAGACAGTTTGCTCCTCACTTTTGCAATTACTGGTTCGTGTTCAGGATAGCTGTAAATGCCCCTGAAAGATCAGACATCAAGTATACTTAAATACTCTTCTGTTTCTTGATATGTGATCAGGCTACTCTTTCATATCATAATAATTATTATAAGGTGATACATTTTGGTGGTGTATAATTACATAATGTTTGGTTTGTGCAGTGCCATCACCTCCTTGGAATGTGACGGTGATACAGAGGAATGCACATCAGGTTGTTGTAAGTTGGCAAGCCCCAAAATATCCGAATGGGAACATTGTCAGTTATGTGGTATTTCTGACACCACCCATTCCACCTATTCAAAAGTTACAAAATGGTACCAAGACCAGTTTTGTTATGAATAGTGACTATGAGGCTGATAAGAAGTATTTTTTCTGGGTAAGTGACCTCTACATAAACGTGAAGTATGGGCATAAAATAAACACATGATAAAGAAGAATTTTATATAGCTGTGATGATGTATCTGGTCCTTGGTAGTTGTCTTGCTTTGATGAAGGTGAAACATTTTAAGTGGGAGAGTATAAATTGCAACGGAATGTGATCTCTCCATAAACAGGAGGTAACCATCTTTATCAGGAGTTTGCTGTCATACTGTTTGTTCTTAGGCAAAAGTAAGCTGGAAATGCAGCATATTCAGTCCCAATTATTGCCACTGTTCCTAAAAGAGGGCCACTTGCCTGGTCTAATGGTGAGCACACTAGCCTCATAAAGGTAATTGTAAAGTTGTCCACGTGCTTAATTAATTAACCTTTAACGTACAGACTTTTAAATTGCTGGCAGCCCTCTGTGGCTGGAATTTAAATGACCCTGAGTCTTTAACATGCAGACTTTCAGGAAAAAACTACATATTTTCTGTTCTGTGCAACATAGAAATACGAACTAAAATCAAACCTGAAAGACAATACAATTTTCTACATATACACAAAAGAGCAATTTTTACAAATGAAAATTAACTGTGATTATTTGACATAAAATGCAACATATGATCTTTATTATATATGTTATGAAATTCCAAAGTACTTAACTCTTTGACTGGCGCGAAGGGTATTTAAATCCCACCCCTGTCCTGGCAGGCCCTTGAAACCTTATGTCGGTAAAATGCATGTAGTTACTTTTTCCTAAACAACTTCAACAAAAATTGGTTTTTAAAAACGAAATTTTCAGGAACTAATTAAAATACAATATTTTATGCAATAAATGCCTTTCCATACCTCTTTATTAGTTTTTCTTCGTGTGATAAACATTGAAACATGAAAGTTTGCAGAGAGCCACACCACAGCCTGCACACATGATACTTGTTTCTTTTCTAATCTTGTGCTTAGCAGTTACGCGACACTTTCTCAGGACACCATTCTTCTTGTTACTGGGAGGAACATGGACTATTTTGTGAATTTTCAAGCCACCCTCTAAATGATTTACTGGCTCTTTCACTGGTGGTCTTTCCAAGGTCGTGGGTGGAGGCGTGACTGCACTCGAGTCTGATTCAATAGATTCGTCATCCACTTCATTCCTTGACCCTTTTCCCTCTCCACCTGTTTGTTTGGTTCAGTCATTTTTCTACACAGTCCAATATAAAATCTTTGAATCTGTAATTTCTCTTCTTGTATTTTTCGTTTGTTGTGTTCTTTTTGAATAGAATGAAACTATTCAACCGCAAAGACATGTTTTGTCCATACCATGGGTGTGAAATAGGGGCCTAGTGGACAAATATTCTTCAATTTCAGGGCGTTTGTCGATTCCTGTCATGAACACAATTCCTAAGTATGTCCAGATTTCATCTGACGTGACATAATTGTAATTGTGTTTTCGAGAGTGAGGAGCTAACTCACGTGTGTTGAAGTGCTGGTGAGCATAGCGATTGGTTTCAGTTGTGATGTGATTTACCAAGTCGTCATCCAGAAAAAATTTTAATCCATGAAAAGTGATGCCTTTTTGTGTTATATCAATTTTGATCCCGAAACCATTAGCAAATGGAAATATTGGAGGTACAATGTCTCCGTACATTCATGAGATGGGCGTGTCAGGCACCGCACTCGTGGTAGGTAAATGTTCATGATTACTGTCTTGTGGATCACTGTCTATCACTGTATTATTGTCACTATCAACTTCATCCAATTCAGGAATCATTATTTCATCGCCACTATCATCATCAGAACAAATCTCGTTCACAACATTTTCCAGCTGGTCTGTAGGAACACGAAGACACTTCCTGCAAGAACCCATGGTGAAACTGAATGAATGTGAAATATTTTCAGACCTTTTCCTTCTCAGAGGGTTCTGACAGTAATATAGACCCCCACAAAGTTTACAAGGGTTCTTTACAAACATGCACAAAAACTATCATATATATGTCTTTGGTTGATGAGTGCCAAGAGAGGAAAGAAGGGAAGAGATTGTCAAAGCGTTAAAACACGCCAACGCCAGGGAACGGCTGGCATCGTCTGGGCGTTAAAACACGCCCGCGCCAGTCAAAGAGTTAACTGTACTTTTTTCTTCAGTCTTGAGACATGGTGATTTTGTAAATATAATCATACTATATACAGTAATATTTTGTTCAGACTGTACACAAGTTTGAACTGCGTTACTTCACAGTTTACTATACCTCACACTCTGATGCGCTTGTGCAACATCTCGAAGCGGTCCACGACACACAGCCCAACATTACACTTTTTACAATAGAAAAGGGTGCTCCTGCTTTTCTTATTTAGCGAACATACACGGCGTCTCTTTTCCCTTTGGTTGGCCAGTGTTGTGAATGTTTCACCTCCAGTCGACTCAGTTTGGCCCCAGATGAACTTGGCCTCTCCTGAGAATCGCTACTGACTGTGATATTCCCTTAATGTGATTGAAGAATCAAATCCCGCACTAGGATTTTGTATGTGTCATTTTTCCACCACATGACTTGTGTAATAGATAGGCATTGAGAATAGTCATATCTAGAAGGTGGAAAAACAATTTCTTTGTCCATTTCCATGTCCTCCAAGCAATTCCATAACTGTTTACTGTCCTGTCAGATTTATCCACAAGGCCCTCTGCCTCATTACCTGATGATGATGATATATTTTGATGAGGTTCAGTGAACTCATTGAGTTCTTCTAACTCTTCATGAGATTCCTCTTCCATCAATATTTCCTCCAGTTCTTCTGCATCGAGAAGTTTCGAATATCGGGCACGTTTTTGATAGGTTCCATCATGGGGGAGGTGGTTTTCCAACTAAATTGAATAAATTATGTTGATTGACAAAGCGATACACTCGCTTGTTAGTAATACTTGCAAAATAGTGATGCAAAGTAATTATAATACTAGTTGAGAAGAGTGCCAGTCTGACACTGGTACCGAAAGTCACAGTGACAAAGATGCATTTTACTCACAAAGTAATACTGGCTCAGTGGGTTTATACCTCTTCCGAGACACAAAATAAAAATGATATGTAAAGAAATATATGACAGTCTGACACTGACTTCCTAACTGATAATTCGCTACTGCAAACCAGTCCTTGAATACGTCACACTTCTTTGAAAGCTCTAGAAGCACTAATCTGCCAGCACAGATGAACTTTTACTCCTCAGTTTTCAAAATAAAGCTGGGCTCTATTTGGCTGACCAGGTCATAAACAGTCATATCTAAACGTAAATAATATCAAAACCAGTACCTTGATAAACTATTTGATTGTTCAGAGCTAACAAATGAACCACTGACATGACCTTGCATGGGTTTGCTTTGGTTTCAAACCAAAGATCAAACTGTCAACACTCCCAAAGAGAGCACATGTCCCTGCATTAGATAAATATAACATTCAGCCACAGTGGGTGCTACTTTCTGTTAGATATATATATATCTAACAGAAAGTAGCACCATGAAGATGTACGGAGAGTATAGGCTACTTTCATCATTCTTAAATTTAGCACTAGATGGGAGTGGTCATTTGCACACCGTGACTACTTAACCCCTAGGGAAAAAGCCCACAGTACCCATTGAATAAGAGCCTGTGTGAACCCCACAGATAGTCTGATGCTGTGGAGAAGAGAAAAACTTGTTGTGGCCCTGCTAGGAATTGAACTCCAATTCCATGCTGTCCTGTCCATAGCCTGTTGCTATACCAGCTGAGCTAGAGCTTAGTATAGTAGCCTGGTGTTGAAAAGTTCTCTGCCTTAATCTGAACCCCTGCCAGTAATCTTAATAACAAATTTAAAATCAATGAATGTCCATTGGTGTGATGATAATCAGTCACCTGCCTACAGGAAAAGAGCTGACTTAGGAAAACCGTGTATACGTGGTCTGACAATAAAGTTCACAAACTGATCACAGTAAAAGTGCTACATATCTCATTGTCTGAATATTACTGTGGTCACCATCAAAGTACTCCCCTTAGGAAGCTATACACTGATGCCAGCACCTAGTCCACCTATCAAAACAAATTTGGAATTGGTTTTGTTTAATGACCTTCAGAGCTGCCATCGTATTACTCCTGATGTCATCAATATCATCAAAATGCCTTCCTTTCAATATGTCCGTAATCTTCAGGAACAGAAAGAAGTCATGGGGGGCTAGATCCAGTGAATAGGAAGGGCGTTCCAAAATAGTTATTTGTTTAGTAGCTGAAAACTCCCTCATAGACAGTGTTCTTTGATGATCTCCTTTGGGACCACTTTGCACACACTTTGCACACACCTTGCACATGTCAAGATCTTCAGTTAAGATTTTCTGTTGATGTTCATCTGCTCTACTATGCTCCTGACAGTCAGCTGACAATTTTCACACACAATTTGACAAACTTTTACAACGTTTTCTTTTGTTCTGCTTGTTGCTGGCCATCTGGATCTCACTTTGTCAGTGACTCTTTCTCTTCCCTCAGAAAAATGCATTACCCACTTGTAAACTGCTGTTTTCTTCATAACATTATCCCTGTAAACTTGCACTAACATCTCTCTGATTTCCTTTCCACTCTTGCCAGGTTGAACAAGAAATTTGATGTTTGTTTGTTGCTCTAATTGAAGCTCCGACACGCTTGTGACGGCACACCAGAACACACTCAGACAATAATAGATGCCACTCAGAAAGAGAGTGATAATGATCAACAACAACATGGCTGTGAAATGCTGATATGCCACCACCATCAAACTATACCAAGGTTTCCTGTCCACTGCTGCTACTGCAAGCACACGGTGCAAGTTCGCGAACTTTATTGTCAGACCTTGTATTAAATATAGCTGAGACAGTGGGCAATGTGGTACTGGTACAGAGAATCAAACATTGCTGAGAATCATTCTGAAGTGACTTCCTCAGATATGGCAATTATAATTTGTTCATGTTGGCGACTGGAGATATGATAGAACATGTAGAAGGTTTAATCAGATGCCTCTGAGACTAATTTCATTGATGTAAAATGTATTTTACTATAGCAGGCATGTAGTTGGTGTCACTTATCACAGCCCTGGCAGAATTGTCCATGTCAGTGTCAGTGATTTGTTTTGAGGTATCATTGTATTCTTTTTATGACAGTATCTATGTAAAATATGTGGTGTTGTATGGTATGATGATTATTGAATGATGAACTGGAAAGGATTTGGAAGGAAGTGATTGTGGCCTAGTCAGGGTACTGTCCCAACATTTGCCTGGAGGGTTTGAAGAGAATTATGGAAAAACTCAGTCAGTACAGCTGTTGTCCTGGCTGAGATTCGAACTGAGCTCTTCCAAAGAACTATTCTAGGGCATTATCACAGTGTTATCCTGCTCAGTGATATCATTGTAAAATGTCTATTGTAAGATAGAAACATACATGGAGTAAGGAAGACAGTCATGGAGACCTAGAGAATGTTGAAAGCTGTGTTTTGAAAGTGAAGAATATGAAGATTAAAATGTAATCAAATGAATCTTGTTAAAAATATTGTTCAGTGAAACCCTTTCAGTGCCAAGTTTTTCCTGCCACGGACAGAGCACTTTGCTGATAATATGTAATAATAATCAGGGATAAATTTGTAGCAGTTAACTGAGATGATCCCTTTGACAGCAGTGAAAAATTTGTATCTCTGAGCTCGCATTTGGAGTTGTGCTTTGACAAACCTTGATCAGTACACAATGAAATTCCTATTTAATGAGTTGGGGGGGACTGGCTTTTCTTACACTAAATTTATGTTAATAATTAATGGGTATTATGCAACAATACATGAACAAGTTGTTCATCTTCTGATAAGACTTAAAGAATAATAAGTAATTAAACTTTTTCTACACAAATCAGTACAGTTAAATAATCAGTAATATAAAATGAATTTCTGAAACAATTAATGACATGAAGTAAACACTGTAATTGTGTGGGAACAATTTCCAATAAAGGAAAACATAGATTATTCATTGTTATTTGAACTACAGTAACACTGAATCAAGATATATGTTTTGGAAGGTTGAAAATTTCTTGCACTAAATGCAGATTATATACTGACTGAAAATTCATCAAATTGCTAAATGTAGTAACATTAAATTGGGCTTTCACTGAAATATCTTTGAACTGCCTGTTCTGTTGTAGGTGATAGCAAGAAATAAAGCTCATGACAGTGACAGCTCATCACTAGCAACTTTGACATTTGATGGAGATGCTGCTATTGAAGCCATTGAAGGCTTGATGTGGGACCATAAAGACAACAGAAGCATTAGCCTGACTTGGAAGAAGGTGGCCAAAGCTGATGGCTATTATGTGATTCCCAAAAGCATGCCTCCATATCCAAATCTTGATATGAATACTACAAAAACAAATAACATTACAGGTAGTACCTTTATGTTTTAATTTATGATATTTAATCTTTATAATGCCCATTAAAGAAAAAGATAAATTAATTGATCCAGTTTCATTTAATGAATTTCAGAACACAAATCATAGAAACAGAACAGGACAGACTTGGTTTCTAAATATAAAACATAACATTATGTGTTCATATTCACATTTCCCAATTAACAGCCATAATAGAAGTTCGCTGTTTGTAACATAAAGTGTCCAGAAGGTATTTGTTCCAACTTTATGTTTCATGTGGTTTTCCTTAAATGGCAACTGAAATAATACCTTAGAATACAGAGATAAGCACTAAGTCATGACCTTTTTGATATCATCTTATGAATGTATGAAGTGCTTTGAGCATAAGCAATCAGAATTGTGAAGCAAGAGGAAAATGCACAGTGCCATATGTGATCAGCCACATTTGTGCAGCATGTATTTAGAGACAAGTTTTGTAACGGGCCACTGGGAAGAAATCAGATTCATGCAGAGTATGTTTCTGCTACTTATCCTGTCCATGGCCATCTCAGCCTCCTGGATTTGACCACCCTGACCAGAATATGAATTAAGGAGTTCAGTTTCATGTATTTGTTGCCATTCCATTTAATTTGGATAATTCAGGGCTCCCTTATGGAGCCTAAGTAATTTGTAACTGTTAAACCAAATATAAAGAAAAATCCTTCTCATTTCAGTAACAAACCTAGCTCCTGGAACACCTTACATCATGGAGGTGTCAGCCTATAAGAAATCGTTCACAGGCCTACCTGCATCCATCACTGTAAAAACAGATGGTGAGCCACTCCCCCAAGTTTCAGGATTAGTAGTAGATGTATCCAAGACTGATGGTACCACTGTAACAGTCCGTTGGGACATTCCAAAGGATGGAATATACAGAGAGAAATGGGAATATGGTATCTACTATGCACTGAATACAACAGATCTGCTTTCAGGTATGTTGCATGTAAGGAAAATGTAAAACAGCATCTTAAAAATAAGATAGCCTATACATTTCAAGGAGTACTTGAATCATATTCATCATCTTTACATACTTTTGGAGCTCAGCCACCAAGAATGTGAACGGCATGTTTGTTGTACAGTTACAGTTTAATGCTGGTCTGATTCTTACACAACCAGTAGTATCATTGACTCATATTTCCTGAGTAGTGACTTATGAAATATCATTTGCAATAACCTCTGCTGTCTGCTTAAAAACAGAAGTCAGCACTTTTAAGGCACTTCTGTAAATCTGCATGGAAAAGGAGGGGGCCTTTTCCATGCAGATTTACAGAAGCGCCTTAAAAGTGCTGACTTCTGTTTTTAAGCAGACAGCAGAGGTTATTGCAAATGATATCTGTACTTTTAAACGGTTATTACAAAGAATGACAGGCTCAACAGAAATAAAATTTACACCATTAGTAGAAAAACTGTTGTGAATTCAGAAGCATTCAATGTGAACAGAATGGTTACAGATGTGGATTCATGAATCCATAAAACACGGTGTTCTTTCTGTTGATGAATTGCCATTGTGTTGACATAACACTGTATATGAAATGGCCAAGGTTGCAATTACATCGACTTCTGTTGACACTCTTTGCTTACTAATAATGGTGTAAGTTCTACTCTTGTCAGCAGTTTTCTGATGAATGTTTTAAAGTGTAAAGATCATTTGTAATGATCCCGTATTTCAAGACAAGCAAAGATCTAACTTTATGTTCTCACTCCTTGCCATTTGTATGCAACTTCAGTCACTTTATTTATATATTACTATTCACACTGCAACATCTGCATGTTTCAGCCTAACTGGCCGTCATCAGGTATATAAGATGTTGGTGGGAAGGAACCTCCTGCATTATTATTATTATATTGTTCAGTTTTCATTTGGATGTAAAATACTTTTAAAATAATTTATTTAAGGTTATTTTAGATTATCATTCCATTGTTATGCATGTGTTATATTAGTGTTTTATTTATGCAAAATAAATAAGGATAATCTGAACAATATAAGATGTGAAACCAGCAGGCATTTCAGGAATAAAAAGAGGGAATATCTGAAAGACACAATTAATGAGCTTTCAATGAATAGTAAGAACAAGAACATTAGAGACCTATATAGAGGAATAAATGACTTTAAGAGGGGTTACCAACCTAGAAGTAACTTAGTGAAGGGTGGAATTACAACATATTTGATTTCTTGGCTGACGTGGCACTGATCTTTTGTTGAGAACTGCACTTAATGTGTGATGGTGCTCCCACACCTTATTGCCTGCAGGTACCTGAATCGAAAGTTTCCAGGTCCGTGGTTAGGTAGAGGTGGACCAATTGCCTGGCCTCCATGCTCACCTGATTTAAATCCACTGAATTTCAACTTCTGGGGCCATTTAAAATTGTTGGTATATTCGTCTCCAGTGGATGATATGGAAAGTCTCTGAAATCGAATTGTGCCAGTTTGAGATCATCTTCGGGTGGCATTGAGACGTCGAGCTGAGACCTATATTCAGGCAGGATTTGAGCATATAGAACATTTACTGTAAGGTAATGTGAAAGTCTGAGTGTCATAGACAGAACTTAAAAACTCAGAAACTATGCATATCTGGGCCTATATTGATATAAATTATTTTTATTATCTACATATGAGGAACTCATTCCTGACGTTATGCCGTGTATTTTTGAAACACCCAGTATCTCGATGAAGTTGCATATAGATGGCAAGGAGTGACAGTCTGAAGTTAGAATATATAGTGCAACAGGATGCTGCAGTATAATATTACTAGTGAAGTTTTTAGCTTAATTTCATGAACTGCACATCAGTATTTTGATATTTGGGCAATGAATGTTGACAGCTCGCTTCCATATAGTGCTGATGTTAAGAATGCTTGGAGATGGATATATCTCCACCCTTTCCATATCTTCATGGCATGCTGCTTAATTAATCACAGAAACAACTTTGCTTTAGCTGTATGTTAACTGTAAGTGAAACTTTTCTTTTTTAAGGTTACCATCAACATAAGTATTCACTTTGCTACACTGTCATGAAAACCTATCGAACATTTTATTATATTTGCAGGTCCTAAGCAAAGAACAAGCAATTTGACTGCAAACGTAACAAACTTGGAAGCATGTGAGTCTTACATTTTTGCTGTGGGAGTCATAGGCCCCCTTGGTTTTGGTCCACTATCGGCTAATCCAGTCTCTTTGGTAACAAGATTCAATATGAATGCTGCCCCGAAGAATCTGACAGTGTTTTCAGATCCTCACAATGAAACAGTTATGAACATCCAGTGGCGTTCTTCCTGTCCTGCAATGGTTGATGAGATTGGATACATGGTGTGTTTCCAGTGATTCATTGTTGCTTATGTGGAGATCTGAGAATATTATGTGAAGTGGTTCTTGTGAGAATGTGGACCAGATTCATCTGATCATATTGTGGTGTTTTGGGTTATGTCATTCTGTAGTCCAGTGGGTGGGTGACATTGTTTTGGAGGAACATTCTGCCTCCATCTTAAGTTTACAAGTAGGCTTTAGATCTTTGGATTCCATGCAGTGTTGTCTTTCCATAGATATTACAATATTGAAAGTTGAAGATGTCATGGTTGTGAAGATTCACACTGTAGTCTTCTGGGTTCTGACTTTGTTTTGTGTGGTAGGTGGATTGCCGGCATTGTTAGGGTAGAAGTGGCCTTTGGATTTATGGACTCCATGTACTATTGCCTCCCCATAAATAATGTCATCAATGTACCTGAGATTTTAGGGTTTAATGGTGATGAAGATTCACATTGTGATCTTATGGGTTATGACATATTGTAGTCTGGATGTGAGTACCAGTGTTTTGGGAAACATACTGCATACAAAACACATTGTAAATCTTTGCCACTAGGAAAACCTTGTATCTCATAATTCATGTGACTTGGCCCAGTTGTGGGCTCATGTGAAGAATGTTTGTGCTCCATAAACGGTAGGGAATTTTTAGACTAGTCAAGTAACTGTTGTCATAAGAAGAACTGCAAAGTGAGTTACTTGTCTTGGTGTTACTGTAATCCAGTATCTTAAATGATAGTAGTGGATTTATATGGGACAGTTTTTTTTAGATATGTAAAAAATGTTGCCACATTCTCATTACTGCAATCATTTTTATAATATATGTGTGTTCACAAAGTGTTGCTAAAATATACGAATGTAAGTCAATAAGTAACTTACAAATGGATATAGAACTTAAACAGATAAAGAGTACTGATTTGAAAAATGCTTTTATTTTTCAATATAATCTCCCTGTACATTGAGGCACTTGTCCCATCGTTTCACAAGCCCCTGAAAACTAGCAGCATGAAATTCTTTGGGCTGCTGTCGGAACCAGGCGGTGACTTCCCTTTCTACAGTTTCATTGTCAGGAAAATGTTCATCCAAAAGATGATGATTAAGAGGGCCGAACAAATGGAAGTCACTTGAAGCAAGGCCGGGGCTATACGGACGTAAATGCCGACTCTTACTGTAACATGCTCAGGATGTAAATGTTCCCTGTAAAGGGAAGTCACCGCCTGGTTCTGACAGCAGCCCAAAGAATTTTATGTTGCTAGTTTTCAGGGGCTTATGAAACGATGGGACAAGTGCCTCAATGTAAGGGAGATTATGTTGAGAAATAAAAGCATTTTTTTCAAATCAGTACTCTTTATTTGTTTAAGTTATATATCCATTTGTAACTTACTTATTGACTTACCTATGTAATTATCTTTTAAATACAGCGGAACCCTGGTTTATAGTTTACAGTTTAAGTTTTCCGACAATTACAGTTGAATTTCCATTACTCAAGTTAATAATTTTACTTGAATTTTATTTATGTAAGCTTTCTGTCACTTTAATTCAGCTCCCTATTATCTCAATGGAACTTTAAATGGGGAATTTGCCATAATTAGCAAACAGCATTTTTCAGGTGAAATTTATTGAATGTAATGAAACTCTTTGAGTGGATGACTGTAAATTTACAGCATTCAGTTTGATGCATTTTGTGTATTTGGAGACAGAAGCTTCCAAAACCATGCCATTATTTTTGTACAAAGTGTGATATCCTGCCATGTCCCTCTTGGCCTTCCAAGAGGATTACCTGCCAAAAACGGAACTTTACAATGTGGAAACCCGGAAGAAATTCTATACTTTGTATAATGATCACATTTAGATTATAGACATGAGGGTTGTGATGTGTTTGCAGGTTACAGTTACTGAAGTGAACTTGAACTTCAGTTCCTCAGTCACATTGCACCCCACATCGAAGACTGAGCTCTCCCACTGGTTTGTTGTCCATTATGGAGGTCATTACAGGGTGACAGTGCAAACAAACACTAGCAGTGCTATTCCAACAAAACCTGTTGAGTATGTAGCGCCACCTATCCAGCCCCCACATCAGCTCCAGGTTCTTCCTGAACGTAATGGCAGTTACATAGTATACTGGAAGGAGAGGGGTCTTCCAGCTGCAATTGCCAATATGACGTGAGTTTGCTATGGTCAGGATGCTTATACTGTTCTAGATTTATTTCTTGCATATCTTTATTTGAAACAGTATATTAAGGTTTGTGGTCTCATGGTAAAACCAAAGTAAGATCACCATCTTGACTAGTAATAACGCTGTACTAAGTTTATTGTCCTGAAGTTGATGATATAGAGCACTCAAATGACACTGCTGTAAAATTCAGAAGGACTGAGTGTTTGGTCTTTGTTAGCTCTTGGACTGCCAAGTCGTGCCATAGAACTACCTGGTAAAATTACCCGACATGATGATGGTAAGTGCAGTTACATACAAATGCCCATAATATGAGGTCTATTTGGAAAGTAACCTCCATTTATTTTAGGCAACTAATGTAGGAGTGGGGGAAAGGTCATGCATGCGAGGTGGCATCACATGACTCATTGCCTTGCAGATGATCATATAACTGGTCACTTACTGTTTATTCTTGTCTCTACATAGTGCACTGTGATGTGTCCTGTGATTGATAATCCTGCCATAGGGCCATTCAGAATAAAAGGCGTGGAATGCTGACATTTGGTGTAGTGCTCCTCCAAGACAATGCGCATCTGTATACAGCTGCTTGCACTCAAGCGCTGTTGGAGCATTTCAACTGGGAGTTGCTTGGCCACCCTCCTTACAGCCCTGATCTTGCTCCAAGCAACCACCACATGTTTGCCTACCTGAAGAACTGGTTGGGATCACAGTGCTTCAACAATAATGAGGGGTTGATGCAAGGTGTCAAAATGTGGCTGAGCTCAGAGGCAGCAGAACTTCTTTGATTCAGGCATACAAAAACTTTTTCCCCAGTACAAGTGCCTCAGTTCTGGCAGTGACTATATTGAGAAGTAGCTTAAATATATACATATTCTTCGTATGTAATTTTTTTTTCTCATTTCTTGTTTCGTTAACAGCTCACCTGAGGTTACTATCTGAATAGCCCTCATATTTTCCTCATATGATCTTCAAACAAGGGGAATATATTGTGCGAAAGCCCATTCTTTCTCTAGACATTGGTATGTCATACTTCATAGCATCTATTAATGAGAATGCTGTACCAGTTAATATTAATGAGCTGTTCTCAGATGTGGCAGTTCCAGCGCAGGTATCCCAAGCTGGTCTCACGAGTGCATGGCATGCAGAGGGTTAGTTTGGAAACACATCAGTTTTATGCCTACTTTTCTTAACTTTTTAGTAAGGAGCCTTATTATATTGTACACAGTATGTAACGGTCCATACTAGTATGAGCATCATTTGAATAACAGTATTATCACTTGTAAATGCTGCAGTGCTGGTTGTAGTAGCCAGGCGGTCTAAGGTATGCACTGCTTTCATTCTCTCGGAAGCTGGGATTGTGGGCGCAATTCCCACTCAGGGCATGGATGTTCTGTGTGCATGTGTGTGAGCGTGCAAACTTTTCTGTGGTTGTGTACAGGCAGAGGCCTTGTGATGAGCTGATCACCCACCAGAGGAGTCCTACTGAAACTTTTTAAGATCTAGTAAACTTAAGTGAAATGGAGAGTTTCATGGAGGTAGGCCAAGGCCCAAATTGGTGCTGTAGCGCCAAAGGAAAAAAAAATTGCTGCAGTAGCAAATATTTGGCATGATAGTTCACATTGTGTGCGTGTTTGGTTCTAATTGTAAGAAGATATTGTGACATGCTGCCTAAAAGCCAGAATATCTTGAGTGGGCATCCATTGCTAGACAGTGGCTCAGTAATTACGTTTCCCATACAACACATAACGGTGAATACCTTGTTGCCTAGGCAGCAATTAAAAACACATTCCCGAGACAATGCATACATTGGCAGATGTTACCACAGGAATGAATGCGAAAGCTGTGGCATTCCCACTGCAATGAATACCCTTCAAGAAGGTGTCTTCTACTGCATCTGACTGTGGAAGATAAGAGACAAAATGGAACACAGATCAGAAAGAGATCAGAGAAGACTGGAGTGGAGTAACTGTAAACTAGTTATCCAATAAAACAGCTCTGTCTAATCCACAACCCAACAATTATTTGTCATGGAACCCTGGACATGTGACAGAATTCTTAGGAGAGACTAAATTTGCTCGAAGAAAGAAGCTGTACATGATGGCGTAAATATTAAGAATACATTCTTCAGGATGGAACCCTGAAGATGGACTTAGCAGGTTCCTCTAAAACAGTACCTGTTTACCATATTATACAGCATCACATATGAGATAACTGTAATCTGATGAGATTTAGACTATGAGAGCCTCAAATCTTATACAATACAAGTTTTGTTGTTGCTTATACATATATAACATATCACTGTTATGGTGAAAATTTTATGTGAAATGCAAGGGAGGTTACAGATTTGAGGCAGAAACTAATTTGCATATGGGATTAACATTCAACATAATGTTTCTTATTGTACAGGTTCAGGTATATTGTACTTGTGTCCCAAGGATCTGTCTTAAATGTGAGCACAGCTACACAGTACAGTGCCTCTGGCCCACCTTTCATATTGAGCAAAGTGCAGGAGGGAACCATCTACTCTTTTGCTGTTGTGCTGGAGACAGGTGATGGGTATCGTTCACATATGTCAGAAGTGAGGTCTGTTGAGATGCCAGTGGGTAAGCATGAAATTTGCATATGTATATTTATGCCTTTAAATTAATTTTGAAGTATTGAATACTTTTTTCTTTTCATTGGTAGTTATAGAAGCTTCACATGTATGATTCATTTGTCTTTAAATACATATGCAAAATACACTCTGGTCTTGATACTCAGCTGACGTTAGTTGCTAGTTATTGGAGATGGCAGAGATCATAGACGCATGCATTTGTATTCCATCTGAGTATCATGATAATTTGAAAAATATGTTCAGGAGCAGTATAAGTTTTATCAGAAAATGAGTGTTAGTTTGTCATTGACAGAAATTTATTAATCATTAAACTGTAAGATCAGCTGGTAGTAGTCTCCTCCTGAAGTTCATTTCAAGCACTTCGTTGAACAGGTTCCTGGAAAGCAGTACTGTCACCTCGAAACATTGTCAGTGTGGTGGTGCCAGTAGGACTGGTTATGATAGCACTCTGTGGTGCATTGGCTTTCTTTGTGTTGCGACATCGCCGTCTGCAGCGTAGCTTCTCATCTTTCGCAAATAGTCATTATGACACACGGTCAGGTGCAGCAACTTTCTCTGGTGGTGATGGTCTTGGTGAGTATGCTGCTGCTAAACAGACTGTGGGAAAACCTACAAGAATATATAGACATTGGAAAGTTAAACTTTATTTTTTAGTTTCATTCTGTTTTAACTTCCATGGTTTGTCATATTTCATTACATTATTTGTATGACAAAACCAACTTGAGTGAATAATTTGCATGAGGATTTATGATAATGGTCCATCATGGGCAACAACACTGCCTACTTCACCCATCTGTAAAAGTGAACATTTTTCTTTGAAAATTGAGGCCCTCTGCAGGGTTTATTTGTTTTAAAACACTACTTTTTTCCTCTTAAACTTAATTAAATTCTGTAACTTGTTTTCAGTAAACAGTGTACTGTAGTAGGATTCATATCTCTTGGTGTTAGAGGCATGGCTGTTGGTATTGTAATAGCTAGTAAAAGATGTGCTGTGTTGCCAAGTTCAAGTCTGCTGCTGCAAGTTTAAAAATCAAATATGTTCGCTAGAACAAACTGTTCATGAACTCAGATGAAACACATGAAAGACCACAATTTTCTGAATGTGTAGGAGCAAACCCCAAATTTCTAGGCGAGGTGGTTAGAATTTTAAGGCTTTTAAAATTTTTCTTGTAATAATTGCATGTATTTATTCAGGATAGTTGTGATTTTGATACTACTTATTGGTAGTATGTTTAGGATATGGACCAAGATTTATTTTATAGTTGATAAAGCATGGTTTCAAGAAGACTCAGTCATTTGTTCCTAGCTTTCTAAGCATTCAGTGTCATTTTGAAATGTACTAGACATGGGTGTTTCCACTTTCTTTTTTTATTTTCTATATATAATCTCATCCAGACTTCATAAAACAGTGCATTATTTCACATAACACCAGCAGGCCGCCTCTATCTCGATATTATAAACAAGGAGCAGTTGGGTGACAGGTGAAATGGTATAGTTCAATTTACATGTAATTCAGTAGTGAGAATCACTTGAGGTCACCACTGATTTAAATAATGATAAATGAAAAGACCTTTTTACAGTAGATCGATTACAGTTGTGATCAACCTGTAATGCTCGTCAGTGCAAGACCTGCATTGCAAACTAGAACATGTTATGATTATACAAGGAAAGACAAAGTACAAAATTGCTATTGTATATAGAACTCACATGTGCACCTGATTACTGCAGGTGGATACAGTCGTTTTAACTGTAGCTGTACTTTTGACTCTATGAACAGCAGCTATAGCATACAGGTGAATGGTGGTCACTAGTAGGCATAAAACAGAATAGTAATCCCAGCTGTAGAAGTGTTTGTTCACAGTTCTTATTAATTTTCATATTACAGATGAAGAAGATTCTCCTGTTATTCGTGGTTTCTCTGACGATGAGCCATTGGTGATAGCTTGAGTGGAGTTTCCTCATTGAGACCATAATTCAGTGTCAAATCTCTGTGATACTGTAATTGATAATACTGTTTTATTAACATGTACCATGCTTAAAATTTGATTTAATTGTTGATTATTTGAAATTGTAATGCTGCACTGTTGATAGCTTCCACTCATGACTACTGCTGAGTTATCCATTTTGTGGGTTTACTGTTGGAAACTCTGCCTTGGAACTTCTTAATTGATATATTGTCTGCACAGTGTGTCATTAGTGGTGCTGCAGGACAATTTCAGAACAAGTATTTTTTAGTAAAGGACATTCAAACAAATTAAAATAGTTAAACTTTGGACCCTAATTTGTTGTAGGTTGTGACTTGTTGCATGTAGTGCATGTGTGGAAAAATGGTAGTATTTTTTAGTGAAAACATTTTTATTTTACAAAATATTTTGTATTATTCTTTCTTACTCTCCTTCAAGTTTCATCGTTTTTATAGTTTAGTGTAATTTTATCTTCAGATGTTTGAACATGTGTGCTTTAGCACTTTAGTTTGTAAATTTGTATTATATTGAAAAGTCTTTATGTGAGTACACTTTGTCAGATTGGTTTGCGTAAACCTGAAGAATGTGATATGGTAATTATTAATTGAACACAGAATGTTACACATGATGGAATCTGATTAACGAGTCTCCTCATCAGAATAGTATTTTATCAGCAGTCTTAAAATATATGTATTAACTAATGTGATGTAAAAAACAAAGTAAATATGCTACCTTCCAAACCATCCAGGTTTTGAAATGTTCACCCCCCCCCTCCTATTGTTTCATCTTACAGTGATTGGATATGACATACTGTTGGCACTAGTGTTCTTTGTTTACCAAAAGAAAAACTTCGAACTGTGTTACCTGCATCCAGCCAAAGATTTCTGAAATCTTGCTTTTGTTCTCTTATTGTGCCAGATAAACTCTTTAATTGTATTGCTTAAAATCATAAATGTAAATATGACAATATTCTGTTATTTGCATTGTGAACATAGTAAATTTCAATAAAATACTTAAATTGTTCTTATTCTGAGATAATTTCATACTGCCTCATTGTTCTCCTGGTATCCATATACTTCCACAGGCCGCTTCTGTCATGGAGTGTAACCTTGTTTTACTGAGGAATCGTGAAGTGCCAGCCAGATTTTTGCTATAAAATAAGTATGTCTTTTTGAAACAGTATTTCTGTACATTGTTTTTATTGCTAGTGGGGTGGGACTAAGTCCCTTGTACTGCGGCCACTTCTGGCCTATTGTATCAGCCTCAAATTTTAGGTGAGGGTGATTGTGGAGCAATGGTATCTGTCATATGTACTTGCCCAGTAATAAGGCTACCAATGCAGCTGCCAAAGGAACCACTTTGTGTGAAGATTTGTCCTCTGAATGAGTTCTAGGCAGTGATTTTTGTGCCTCTTATCTTCACGTGTTTTAGCTGCCTGAAAAAAATGCATGGATGCTTATGCAGGACAGCAAAACGTGATTGGTGAAACCATCCCTTTAGATACGGGAGTTCTCCAGCTCTATTAGGAAGGATGAATTAGCACTTGCATACCTCTGGATTGGTCACACTCACCTAGTACTTGGACACTTCTTTTGTGGTGATCCAGCACCTATTTTTGCATACTGTGATTCTCCTCTTACCATTTTACATATACCAATGGAATGCCCACCATGACACCATCTTATATTTCATGTTCATAGCATTCCAGGACATTCTTGCAGATAATTCCCATGGGTGTCCTAGTGTTCTGGAACTCCTGAATGGTATAGAGGTTGCTAAGTATGTTTAACAGAACATTTTATGTTATTCATAAAAATCCTTGTGACCTCATTGTATATATAGTACTGTCTCAGGTCTATGGTTTTATATAATTTTAAGCTGGGCTAGATAATAGAACTTATAACTTCAATTTTATGCAGTCATGACACATCAATAGTCTGTAGTGACAATGCCTCTGAATTATATTCAGGAAGTATCCAGTTCAGATGGGGTGCCAACTATCCTGACCAAGATTTTTCGTGGTTTTACTCAGTCCCTCCAGACAAATGTGATGATTGTTCCACAAATTAGGCCACAACCACTTGACAACCCTTCCAACTCATACACTGTCAAATTATTCAGCGCTTTGTAGTCACTGAGAGCATTGTTAAATAAACAAACAAAACCCCTTGCTGAGCACTATATAGGTATCCCTTATTATACACAACTCACTTTACATGATTTCATACCTGCGATAAATATTATTGTGTTCCACATGGAGGAGGTCAGCTGAAGAAAGACCTGGATGATGATGATGATCTGATTTGAAACCATTAAACCCACTTCAACAAAGCAAGTGACTAAATTTTTAAGCATATCAACACCGCCATGGGCAACATAGATGATAATGATGCTAACAGAAAAAACTGCCAAAGTTACCAGAGTGAGTGGGAGTTCATATTTTGATTTGTTTTCTGTACCTGTATTTGAGGAGGAACACCATGGATGGATTTAGTCTACACTTTGTTATGCCTGTTCATATTCTGTGATTTTTTAGTTTATAGTAATAATAATTTTATTTTTATCTCAAGATACTGGACTGCATGTGCTCTTTGATGTTTTACATAGTAATTCTAAAATTAATAACTTAAAAATAAATTATCATACTAATTTATTGAAGACAAGAATGTGAAAATTATCAAATGACAAATTACAGCCTCAAGTTCTGATGTATCTTCAGTAACACAGTGTGTCTCAACAGTACTCAAATTCTGTCCAAATTCAGCTCATTTTATGTATTTATTTTACAATGCTGTCACTCTCAGACTGTACAGTGTCAAATGCTAGGAACACATATAATTAATTGGAGAGGATTTAGAATTTTCATGGAAATGACTGAGGAAAAACAACGAACAATCTCAGGAAAGCTGGTAGCCTGGCCAGAATTCAGCTCAAGCATATCCTGAATACAAGTCACGAGTGTCATTGCTACAACAAACTTCTCTGTCAAATCTGACTATATGTGCATTCACTTGGTATATGGCTTGTGTTATTTGAATCAGTTCTTGAATGCTGTTATACATAGGCATATAAGGAGCATCCTTCATGTAGCCCCAGTAATGAGATGTCCAAGGAAATCAAATGTGATAACCTTGGTAACCTTGGGGTTTGGCCATTTTCCAGAGTAATGCTCATCAACAATTTGAATTACTTGATCAGGGTGTTGCCAAGCAGCAAATTTGAGTCATCAGATAAGAAATATAAATTGTATGGGGTAGTGGAAAACATTTCTTAACATACATTTTACATCTACATTTTAATAAAAACTATTCAAAAGAATTCAACATTGTCACTGAATTCATTATACCCATAAAAGTACTTAGGTTAATTAATATGCATCTAAATGTATCATGTAGTAATACCCATTTAACTATGTATTTATCTGATGCATTCCATATTCAGAATGTTTTAAAGTAAGTAGATGAATTATCACTATTTCTTTCCATTTTCTTTAGGATATGCCATTCAGAAAGTCCAGAAAAATGAGAAGGGATTGAAATTGGCGGGGGTGGACAGCATTTTATAGTCTATGCTGATGGTAATAATTTATTGGGTGAAAACATGCCATAAAGAGAAACACAGAATCACCATTATATGGTAATACAGTGGTATTGAAGTAAACACAGACAAAAGTATATATATATATCATCTTCAGAATGATATACAGAATCGTACTGTAAATGAAGATGATAATCGTTTGAAGATGTGGCACAGTTAAAATAACTGGGAGTGGCAGTAACAAATCAAAATTACATTTATGATGGTAGAGGAGCAGATTAGTTTCAGGGAATGCTTGCTTGCATTCAGTCTAGAATCTCTTGTTTTGATCTGCTGTCAAGATATCAAAAGATTAAAATATATGTAAATAAATTTACACGTAGTTCTGTATGGATGTGAAACATGGACTGTCACTTTAAGGGAAGAACAGGGTACTGAAAGGAATGTTTTGACCAAAGACAGAAAAAGTGATGGGAAGTTGGAGAAAATTGCATAATTATGGGGTTCATAATCTATACTTTATCACAGACATTATTAGAATAATAAAATCAAGGGAGATCAGATGAGTGGAGCATGCAGTGCACCTGGGCAATGTCAGAAATGCATATGAAATTTTGGTTAGAATACCTGAAGAGGAGAGTCCTGCTAAAAGACAGGTATATATGGGATAATATTAAAATTAATGTTAAAGAAATGGGGTGGGAAGGTATTTGGATTTATGTGGCGCAGAGTGGGGATCAATGAGCTCTTTTTTTGTGAACACACTATGAATCCTTGGTTTCCATGAAAGGCATGGAATTTCTTGAGCATATGTGTGACTGTTAACTTCTTAAGAAGGACCCCTATTCCTTGCAATTAGTTTGGTTAGTTATGCAAGAAGCTTATGTTGTTAAATATGTTTATAATTTCTCTGTATGTAATTTATTGTATTGTAGTTCTGTTACCTAAACACCTGTCATATTTGTTGACATTAAATTAATTTGTCTTCTTAGCTTACAGTTAATTGCAAAATATAGAATTGTTATTTTTGTTTGTATCTAGTAATGACTTCCTTGTTCATACATCTTCATCTATAATTGAAGTCTGAACAATGTAAAGGATGGAAACATTTAATTCCCCATTTGTTGGCCTCTGGTTAGTCTTATAATGATGTTAGTTTCTGTGATTATTTCAGTGTTTGACATATGTATATTTCTTCCTAGAATTGTTTATCTATCCTATCTCGAGGTTAGACTAAATGAACCATATCTGAGAGATGTAAATGCTTTTCCACTTATTTCCTCAAGAGATACAGTCTTTTAAAAATGCAATCATTTAACATTTCTCTTCTTGTCAACAAATACTACGCATCCTAAGAAATATTTATGTTGTAATTATGTGCTTGGTCTTGAACTTGAGTCAGTTTGAGTATAACTATCATCAATGATTAACTATTCATTGGTGACAGTATAATTATTTGAAGGTACTTGTACTAATTTGTGTTCATAAAGTTGTAGCCACATTGATAATCTTTTTTTACATCAACTTTTGTTTTGAAACAACTGTCAATAAGGAATCTTGTCACACTAAGCACATTGCTTCTTGACAAAACTGCATAATCATGCAATGATGTGACAAGTTTTAGGAAAAGGAAGTATTCTCAACATATTGATTTCTGTTGTTAAGAAAGATAGATCTACTTGAGAGAGTTGATTCATCTTGAAGGAAGGGTAAGTATAGGTTTGAGTTAGGTATAAGTGATACTACCCTGATTAGTATGAAGTTGGATATTTTATTTCATAATTTGGGTTAGGAATATTTCAGAGTAATATTTTTAAAATATAGTACACTTTTACTTTCCAAAATGTGTCTAATTAACTGTGCTCTTAATATTCTTCACTGTTTGAATGGGATTATATTTGTGTCTGTCAGCTTCTGGATGACTGTTTTTTCATTATGTATCTAGAAATATCCAGTCTGGATTTTGGTTAGGAGAACATATATTCTTGACACAGACGTCTGATAATTTAGTATACTCCCTAAAGGAAAATGTTGGGATGGACAACTTTTCCCATCAACATCCTTACTGACTCTTTCATAATCATCATGATTCCCCATGCTATACCTTGTAAGAAAAGCAGATGAATGTGTTGTTAAAGAAGCCAAGAACCTACTTTCAACTAACTGACACTGTCAGTGGTAGAAGTTCTGGATATTTACGAAGATAAATTTAACACAAATCGAGGGAAGGGGTAGCCTGGCTGCAGTATATGAGTATGTACTGTCATGCTGTAGTAGACTGTACATATATAAGCACATGCTCACACAAGAGAACTCCTATTTAATGTTCATCTGTTTAGGGGTTTTCCTCCATTTAACAATCAATTTGAATGATCCCAAAGCCAATAATGTCAGTGTCAAATTTCCTTCATTTACAACTTTCTTGAGTTTGGTGTTCAAATCTTCTGCTCCCGAAAGAAACATGAAACATGAGTTTTAATTTCTCTCTCGCTCTCTCTCTCTGTGCATGTGTGTGTGTGTGTGTGTGTGTTTAAGTGCACAACGAGGAGAGTCTGGTACAGCTTCTGAAATGCTTATTGCTGTAGTACAAGAGATGTAATTGTACAGTTAATTATTAAGTTGTGTCAAGTCGCAATGGTGGACAGCGTTTTCCGTACTCGATCACTGGGCACAGCAGCTGAAGGTGTGCGAGACCAATATGCAGATGGAAAGGCAGCTCATGTATGGGAGATCTTCATTGGAGATAAGAACTCACGGACACAGCACTACCGAGATTTTCTGGTGGGTCTGCTTCGTGGCAAGGGTTGTAGAACTGTATTGGATGTTGCCTGTGGAACAGGGTGAGTTACTTATTTTGATGGATAGCATTTCATACATTATCCAAAATGATGATTTGTATATTCACAGGGACTTCTTGAAATGCCATTGCATCACAAACCCTGCAGTTTATGTAGAAATGTATTTTCATTCCATTACACTTCTGACAGCAGAATTTTGTTCATGTTCTTTCTGCACTCATTATATTGTGACATATTTAGGGGTGTGACTATAGACAGGTTTTGGATTGATGACCAGATTTATTGCACTCTTATATATCTCTTTACTACACTTCACAAATCACTATATGACACACACAGACCAGTGTCCTCAGTCTCTTACATTCTCCACTAGCCATATCCTGGCAACAGCTTCTACTGAGGGTGACTCCTCAGCTTCCAATGCAGAACTCTTCTCAATAGACAAACCAACTAACTGGGTGTCAGGCTCATGGCTATCTCACACCAACCTCCTAGTGTTCAGTTCACAGGCTGACTTTCAACTGACTACTGACAAGTGAAATCTCTCACTCACCAACCAGTTACTTCACATAACTTTACTCAACTGAACTGCTGACAACTTCCCCTTTGGAACTCAACTTACTCTTCTTATAACATTCTGGCACAAACCACAGAAAACACCATTACCACTGTTACAGTTCAACAGTACCTCAACCGTTGCATGTGTATCCATTTCCGCAGGAACCCGTATACGAAGCAGTTGCCTGGGTATTGTTGCCATGTTTACCAACCATTACTTCAAAGCAGATATTTGTTCATCCATCTACTGCATAGCAATGGCTGTATTCATTGTCAATTTCAAGGTCTCTGCTTAGTAATAGGTCTATACACCACAATACTGTTATGTGTTTGAGTGCCTATAGATGAGGTTTAGATTTGTAACCAGATTTATTGGACTCATAAACACATAGCTTGTAACTACACTTTACAGTTCACTACAGCATGCACTGAGTCTTCTCAGTCTGCTGTGTCTTCACAAGTCATTGCATGGTTACAGTTTTCTAACAAGGGTTACTCCTCATACACTTATGGCTTAAGAAATGCAAATTCATCATGTGATTTTTGGAGAATAGAAGAATGGACACGACATGCCATTTCACTTCATATTATGACATTATAACTGAAGAGACAGCTGTTACTAGGTCATGGCACAGTAAACAACTCATCAGCATAACAACTGCACACGCAACAGAGGAACATGTGTGGTCTGCATGGACACAAAATGGTACATGGTACAATATGTTTGTGTTTATGATTTTTATCTGAAAAATGTCCTGATCTGATATATATTTAATGATGTACAAAGAATTAAGACTATGTAGAATTTGGAAAGGATATGATTAACTCAGTTAATATTAGGTTTGTATTTGCAAATAAATGAATGTAAGAATTAAGAACAGACATGTAAAATCATGGAGACTGAAATTGGAAACTAAAATATAGCAAAAAGTTTATCTTTTGGAATATAATGCTGGTAGTATGTTGAAAGTTTGCTGATATTTGGGAGGAATATGCCATCTCCATCTTCAGTGTCAAAGAATAAGCCAAGCAACAAACAAGCATGGAGCACAAAGACTGCTTGCTGCCTGCTTCATGCTGGTTTCTTGCTTGGCTTATTCTTCAGCCCTGAAGGTGGAGGTTACACGATCCTCCAAACTGTCAGTTGACTTTCAATGGACTACACAAAAACCTTTTGTAACCATTGCTGTGAGAGCCTCAGATCCTGCATAAAATGTAGCAAACCATTTTACTTTTTCTAACTGCAAATTAAAATATATATTGCATCCATTCCAGAATTGATTCCATAATGCTGTTGGAAGAAGGCTTTAAAGTAACTTCTGTCGACGCCTCTGATAAAATGTTGAAGTATGCCCTTAAAGCTCGCTGGAATCGTAGGAAAGAGGAAGCATTTGATAATTGGGGTGAGTGAGATTCTTTATAAGATATGAGGCTCTCCTGGTGCTATACTGAACTGTACTGTGTTGTCACTGGGTGCACTGTACACTCCCACCGTTTCTTTGGCTCTTTAAAAGCCTTGAGTCGAAGCCCTCTAGACTGATGCCTTATTATATCCCATGGTTTTTCTCATGCATAGTCAGAGATCTTTAATCAAAGCCCATCTAAGTCAGGCATTGACATAACGTCTTCTCTTGGACTGCTGGCAACAGGGTATCCCAGCTTCCCTCTGTCAGTCACTGACAGAGACAGCTAGGTCATCACCATTGGTTGCAGCTGAACCCATAACCAAGCTCTAGCTGAGCCCTAAGATTCCTCTTCCTTACCAGTTTCTTCTGCTGGTCAGACCATTTTCCTTCTTGATGGTCAATCTACTCACATCCATCAAGATGTCTCTTTCAGTCTCAACCACATGGGCCCCTTAACAGAGTCCCTGAAAGATAATGGCTGCTTCTCCTCAGCAGCAGAGGACTCAACAACTGAGCCCTCCTATGTAAGAGGCAGATCTTATTTTCTCAGATTACTGATGGCAGGATATCTGCAACCACTCACATCATTCACAAACAGGAACAGCTTCACCTCCACTGCTGGTCCGTGCTGGACTCACAACCGAGCTCGAGTCAGTGGCTCACATACTTGAGAAGACCATTCCTTTACTTAACCTGCTTCTTCACTGCCATGTCTGTTTATCCTTCTTGGTAGTTGGGTTATTCACCTGTATCAAGAGATCTCTTACAGTCTTGCCTGCAGTGGACACCTCAGCAGAGTCCCTGAGATATTTTGACCGCCTTTCTGTGACTGCAGAATAATACAATGACCAGTCACTCAGTGGTGATTATGAAGAACACTGCCTTCTGTGATGTGATGTCATGTAGTCTGGTAGAAGGGCATCACAACCCAGAAGGCAGTGTTCTTCATTTTCCAACAACTATCAGATATGACAAAGTTAGAACAGAAGAAACCTCAGCAGTTTCTTATGAACTTAAGAATTTCTGCTTGATTAAACCTGTCACTGGCATTGTACTGCTACCTAAAAACATAATTTTGAATGTATTATAATAACAGATCAACATGAACAGAAAATTAGATTCATTTATAACAGAATAACTGCCATATTTTCCATCACAGATGTTGAATGTAGTAGATGTAACAGACATCTGTCCATCCATAAATCTCATGTTTTGTACATAATGCGATAATAACAAAATGAATTTTGATGGAATCTGGTATTAAGTTTTATACTAAAACCTTGCCGCCAACTTTGAGCCAATTGTCAAGGTAATGTGGCAACCCTATGGGCCTTCATGGCCTGTTACAGGGATAGCTTTACTTTTTTACTTTTTACTAAGAACTGTTAGGTTATTTTAATTTTTGAGATTTAAGGTTTCGATTCATATATTCTTTGAAGTTATAACACCATGTGGCTTGGAAGGTGGGAATTTTTTGGAGGAAGATAATGCCTCCAACTTCAGGGTAGAAGTGAGCCAAGTTTGGGAAAATGGCTGGTTATGTGGAAGAGGTACTTGAAGAAATGTGTCACAGGGGAAAGGAATGATCCATTAAAGCCACTGATGGGGAGGAGACAGAATCCCACATGGGACATTAGTCCTTAAAATGTGAAATATATGCCAGTGTGATCAGTCTGTAGGTTGTCCAGGAAGAGGGTGCACTATTGTTCAATTTTCCAATTAACAAATTAACTATTCCCAAATATAAGTGAAATAAATATCAGACAGTGCATTTGTTCTCATGGCATGTACATATGACAAAGTGCTTGCAAGAACTTACTATTTTCTTAATAATGGAAGGAAACGATACATTAAAAGTTTTACTGAGTAAAATTATAAATGTAAAGTATTTTATATGCAGTACATGGTGCTAAGTGATGATTGTCTGTGCCCTACAGTGATTGATGAAGCCAACTGGCTGACACTTCCTAATGATATTGCTGAAATTCTTGGGGATGGTTTTGATGCAGTTATCTGTCTTGGTAACTCCTTTTCCCACATGCCCGACACCACAGGTGATCGTCAGAATCAAAGGTATATTCTAATTGTCACATTATTACATGAGATAGCCTGTTTGAACACACAGTGATTGATATGAAAAGAATAAGCCATTAATAATTTAAGGTCTGAAACCATTATTATGCAGTGCAAACAGGATTACTTCATTTTGAGCTAACAAATGCTGACATCCTCTTCTTTCTACCTGACATATTAAAATTCGCTTAGGTGGGTTGTAGTCCAACTGGGTCCACTCGGCATGGCAGCCACTGATTGGCCTATTGTAGCCTGCCCCGTGCGATTATGATGGGGAATTTGGTGGAATGAAGATTGGCAGGGGAAACCGAAGTACTCAGAGAAATCCCGCCCCAGCGCCACTTTGTCCACCACAAATCCCACTTGACCAGACCCGGGATCGAACCCGGGCCACCGCAGTGGGAAGCCAACGAATAACCACTTGAGCTATGGTACAGCCTTACCTGACATATACTATTGTAGCAACCAATTATTATTTCATAGTCCCTCCCTTAAAGGAGGAATGTACACATAATATTAATGAAGTGAATCAACTAAATAATTTCTTAAAAAGGAAATGTAACACATGTTGTAAAATGAGTATGTATTATGTATAATTAAATTTTCATTGCATATACTATATTGCAAGGGATTAGAAATGCATACAAATTTTTAGGCAGAGAGCTTGACAGGAAGAGATCTCTTGGGAGACTTATTGTGGATGAGAAGATAATATTAAAATATGCCTTAAACAAATAGGATGTGAGGATATGGCCTGGATTAATTTGGCATATGACAGGGCCTAGTGGCAGGCTATTTTGTGAATGTGGTAATAAACCTTTGGGTTCCATAAAAGAGGGCAGAATTTCTTGATTAGCTGAATGGTTATTAACTTCTCAAGGAGTCAGCTCCATGGAATTAGCTTTCTGTACTCCCAGAAATGTATAATTCAGAAAAATACAAATTGATTTGTATCAAAACTCTGAAATTTTATTCAGTTTGGTAAACTTCAATTTCTACATTTAAAATTGAAGCATCAACTTGGGCTGAATTTATACAGCATGATTTTGAGTGAAGTTGTACTGTTTTGTATGTAATATGTATCTATTCTTTGTCATAGGCTAGCACTGAAGAATTTTGAACAGTGTGTAAAACCTGGAGGATTGCTTCTGATTGATCATCGCAATTATGACCATATACTGCAGAGTGGACACACCCCATCAAAATGTATTTATTATAATGTAAGTGAAAAGAAGCTTTTAAAATGATCATTACAAAGTGTCAACTCCTCAAATCATATTTATTTTATTAATTTAAGAAATGTTATACATCTCAACCATTTGTCATGCCAGACAGTGAATACAGTATTTGAAGAAACCATTTGTCATGCCAAAGGATGAGCACATTATTGGGAGGTTATGTTTGTCAATCCATATATTTAATCTCCTGAACTACTTAATGGATTCCAGTGAGATTTGGTATGATACATTTATGTTAAAAGCTCTAAAGTGAATACCATTTTGGTTTTCATTTCAACCATGTAGCTGGGATAAAGCATTGTCAGATTTCTAAAAAATGGCTTATTAATACAAACTATGGGTACATGATCAAAAAATATACCCTTTATTTAAAATATTTTTAATATGACACATAAAACTGAATAAGAGGGAAAAGACTCAACATACTCTTACTGTATAGCACCAGGCAGGTTGCCTGAAGTTGTAATGCTTCTGATTTGTACTTGGGAATTGCTCAGTTTGAAATGTGGCCAGGACAGACTGCCTTGAGAAGTTTCTGCTGGTTATTATCATTCTTTCCAGGCAAATGATGTAATGGTGCCTCAAAGAAGGTCATGACAAATTCCACATCTTATCTGATTCATTACTCACAAATCATCCTGCTGTAGAGCTTGGCTGTTGACTATGTTGATAAATAAATCACAAATAAATTAATAATAAATAGCCCATAGGGTTGTGAGAGGTTGAGGTTGCCACATCTTCTAGACAGTTGGCTTACAGATGATGGTAAGATTGTCAACCTTACACACTGGCCACACTTTACCCCCCAGGAAGATTCCTGGTACTCATTCCTGTTAGAGGTTGAGTCGACCCAGTGCAATAGTGTGGCTGGAAGGATTAGGTAAATTGAAGGAAAAAAAATCCACCTCATCAGGACTCGAACCCGTGACCTTCTAGCTTGTAGCATAGTGCCTTAACCAACTACACTACTGCGTAACCCATAAATAATATATTTATGGGCAGGTAGGTAGACAGACAAATAAAGGAATGAAATATTCTATGGAAGCTTTGTTAACAATAGACTTGAATCTGAAATAAATGAATGTCAAAACTTTATGTGAACAATCACTCACATACATCGTAGAACTCCCAACATTTTAAGTAATACATAATGTGATATCAGAGTAGGCTATGCACAAGCTGGAATACATAATCTTTACTCTTCTCTGTATATACAGTAGAACCCACATCTGATGTTCCTTCATTTAATATTCAGTTTATTGGTCACAAGTCATAATCTCATTGTTAAATTACCTGTATTTTAGATGTTCCTCAAAAGTGTTCGAATCCACTGTTCCATAAAAACACCATAAAAGGGGAATTTCACTGTAATCTGATGTACCACTTCAGATGATGCAATGGTGAGGTAACTTCTCTTAGCATGGCATAAGCATTGTGTAATGAGCAGGTCATTGTAGTGGTAGTGCTTCAGGCTTGTTTTGGGGAGGTGTTTGGTTCAAATTTTTGTTGGAACACTGAATGGCCTGAGATATTTCACAGTTTCCTCAGTCCCACCAGGCAAATGCTGGTAGTACATCAGTTAAACCATAACATCTATTTCCAAATCAACTCCAGTTTATTATTCACTATTAATCATAGCATTCAGCTGATTCAAAGATATTGCACATATTTTCCACATACAGCTGACCTTCACTCCATTACCTTGGTAACAAAATCAACTCCTCCTAGTAGGACATCATCTATTACTGAATATCAGACAGCCATGAAATCTTTCTAAAAAGTGAAACCAGTTTCAACAAAATTGATTCCTAGTGTATGCACCATTTCTTTTTACTGAAGATACAATGTATGCAGTTTCATTTAAGGAGATGGTCTCCATCATTCATTCATCAGTAATCTGTCAAGACGACAGGTCCACAGTCTCTTCCAAAACAGTTCCTCCACTTGATGCGATCTAGAGCTTTCTCCATAAACTTGTAAAATTTAATCAAAATTGTTAGAAGTGTTTTATAGAAAATTGCCATTTTGTGTTTTGGGGCCCATTTGATTGGCCCAAATTTTTGGAGGCAGAATGTTCATATTCACTGGGCAGCAACCAGAGATTGATAAACAGTTAAATATTAGATAGGACCATGCCATAGCTCAAGCGGTTAGTCACTGGCTTCCCACTGTGGCGGCCCAGGTTCGAGCTCGGGTCTGATCAAGTGGGATTTGTGGTGGATAAAGTGGCACTGGGGACAGTTGTCTGAGTACTTTGGTTTCCCCTGCCAATCTTCATTCCACCAATTGCTCCACAATCACCCTCACCTATCATCTGGGGCTGGTAAAATAGGCCAGAAGTAACCGCAGTACAAGGGACACCACTAGGAAAAAAAATTAGATATGAATGAAATATGTGTTAATGTTCATGCACTAGTGAGGCATACATACATACATACACACAGACAGAATTAAAAAACACCTTTCTGTATTCACAGGGACTCAAAAGCTCTAAAGCCCTCAAAATCTCAAGATCAGTTCCTTTTCACAGTCACAATACTACCTCATACACTTTATGCTACAGATTTGAGAATCAAGCTAATTTGCTCAAAGTACAAGGTGTTAGTGCACTCCCTGAACACAGTATTAAATAATGTCTTTTGGTTGGTTACAGAGTCAGCACATGACAGATATCAGAACTTCTGTTCTGTATGTAAATGGCCAGCCCAGCATTGTTATAATGGACTATATGATTGATGCTTCACCCAACAGTGATCAGAATTTATCATCAGTTGTTGAAAAGAATGAGGAAGAATCTGTGAGGTAATTTTCTTTTTGTGTTACATGGCACGTTCAAATAATTTATGGACTGTATTTTTTCTTTTATAACCAAAGTTGTGGGGGTCCAGGCACCAACAGTCTAGTCTATTTCAGGCCCTTGATGGAACGCACATGAAAAACTGGAAACTCATATGGTAGAATCCATGAAGCACTACAGATGATAACAGGATGTGGCAGTCAATGATAACATAGACTCAGGGAATGTAGAGCTCAAGTTTCATCATGTTACAGTCCAGCCAGAGTGAAGGAAAGGGGATAGAAAATGAATCAATATGTGCTATGAAATGGAAGAAGGAAAGAATGTAAACAATCAGCATACAACTGAGAGTCTGTGGTACACAAATCAGTTGGGCTACACGAATAAGGCCATAACTTAATCTGTTCTCAACATCACTGTCCTAGGTTTGCCACAGTCTCCATGCTTCAGGAACAAGCTCACCCAAGTATGCAACAACCTGAGTTACACAGTCAGTATTTCCCAGAACAAATAGTGGTTCACTTTACAAATGTTACCAAGTGAAGAGGCAAGGCTTACCTCACCAAGACACATCCAGATAACAAGCCTACAGGATATGTAATTAACACCTGAACTCAACTGACAGGAAGTTTATTACTAGAACCTGCAGTACGCTGAAGCAAGTTCATTCCAAAACTATTCTTACATACCTTTCCTTACATCAACAGAACATTATGACAGATAAAATCTTATCTAAGACAAGAAGACGTGGTTAATTGTTTTTAAGCATGGCAGAATGCTGGTACAGCTTAGAAACTCAGATGGTACAGCCTAATTTAACCATCTTCTTGAAAAAACTGCTTGCTTTCTCATAGCATAATATCATCTACCAACTTAGTCGATAGCCATCTACACGTTACAGAAGATTGTTCCAAAATTAAGTAACATAATTATCCTCCTGATAAAGAAAAACATTAACACAATGTGTGCAACAGGAAAATAGGTTCTGTGAGTACTGCCTATACTTCCTTATTAAAGTTTGGGACTTCAATTTCTTATTACAGGCAATTGGATTATCAGTACAGTCAACTCTCGATTATCCGGGGGCGGATTAACCGGTTTGCGGCTTAACCGGGGCTTTTTTTTTTAAGTTTATATGTTGTTTAATATTCATTCACTTTTGTTTCACATGGTGAGTTGTAACACTATTTTCGCACTAGTGTGAACCGAGCTCTGCATTATTTCGTCCCGTTATGCGAACACAATGTTCTAGGGTGGGGGTGAAAGAATGCAAGAATTTTTGGAAAGTTTCAAGGACAAATACACCGCCCCAGGTTATTTAACGGTACCATCTCAGTGTGAGAGTGCATTGTGAAAGTAAGTATCAGTTTCTTAATATAGATCTTCAAGTGCGTTAGCAAAATGTCGGGGTTTAAAAGGAAGCGTGTTGTGTTAAGTATTCAACAGAAACTTGAAATTATCAATCAGCTGGAAAAAGGAGCTGTAGTTAAACAATTAGCAATGCAATACGGTATTGGAGAACAAACTGTTCGTGATTTGAAAAAACAAAAGAA